GTTTAGAAAACTTAAGGCTGGATATGATTGATAGAACTGAGCTGCATGCAATGGGTTGGCAGAAAAGTCGAGGAATTCCATCACCGATCATGAAACCTGAACAAAAGGAGCGAAGGTTGAACTGGTGCTTACAGCATAGAAATTTTAACTGGGACAATGTGATGAAAGTTCTGTGTGGCTCTTTCCTAATACACTGAAATTCTGGACCAAACAAACTGAAAAACCTTTGTATCAGCGCCCAAAGTACAGTCCGAAATTTAACGTGTGGGGTGGCATACCTGTGTTAGGGGCAACGCCCCTCTGTGCATTTGAAGGGAATATGAACAGTGAGCGGTACACAGATATTCTCGAGGGACATTTACTTCCATCTGCTCACGTGTTCCCGTTTTCCAGCAGGACAACGACCCAAAACATCGTTCAAAGCATTCACAGGCCTGGTTTCGGACCCAAAATATGACATTATTAGATTGGCCAAGCTATAGCCCTGACCTAAATCCAATAGAAAATGTTTGGGGACTTATTAAGGAAAGAGTCAATAAGAAAAATCTGACAAATATTGCTGAAATGAAAGAAGAGGTGGTCCGATATTGGGACAGCATGGACCACGACTTTCAAACTTCTTTGATTAGTAGTATGCCCCGCCGCATTGAAGCCTGCATTGCTGCCCATGGTGACTTGACAAAATACTAACTGTTCTCCTGTCTTTGAATCTGGAGTTATGTTCTGCTAATATTCACATTTAATACGTAAGTAATGAGTGAAAAAATATATAAAATTACAATCTTTAAATTCTCAATAATGTCTGGTTGTACTGTAGTTAAAACTGATTTCTTGTGAATGTGGAAAGGGTCTTGTCGGTTCTATCTAACAGTTACCCTCTATGCTATAAATGCAATATTTAACAACAATACACGACTATTATTATATTAAGTTTATTCATAGCAAAATGTTCATACAATTTTCACCTATACGAATTGGTGAAGTGGGAGGGAACGGTTGTATGGTCGTACACATAAAACGAGATATTTCCATTCTGTTCTAAAAGTGTTGAAAGATTCAGGCCGTCAAGGGATATGTGATATTTGTGCACTAGTGTACATAGATATTGCCAAGCAACGAGCCTGTATGAATAATAAATGATATTACTATATTTTTGTTGGACAACCGCGTTTTATTAAATCATTGCTACACACATATTTTACCCCTGAAAGGAGAAGAACAATTTTATTTTTTTTCACAACGACCCGTGCAGATCTGGGTTAGAATTGGTCTTCAGTAAACATGGGTGCACACTTGTGATCATATTTCCATTTGCGTAAATCGATGCTCATGACGTCAATCACTAGATTGTCTGGTCCAGACTCGATTATATACATACAACCTTCATGTATCTGGACTATTGCTGAGTGCGGCGTTTAGCAACAGTTAAAACCGCTTAATATAAGTTTCTTTTTACCACACATTCTTTTCAAAACATCCATGATGGCCAGGGATCTTTTTTATTTTCTTGAGCAATTCAAATAAAACATATCATATATTAAAAAGTATCATATTTGTGGTCGACGCCATGGTGGAGAGAATAACATGAATGACAGTGCTGCTCGGTTCGAACCATGAATGGGTCTCATCCGTTGACTACACTTTACTGAGAACGTTTAATGCTAAATACAACATATGTAACATGGGGGTGGTGATGATGATGATGATTATAAACAGGTTTGGTAAAACACTTTTTGACATGAGCTCAGTTTTTATGAATGGTCGTTGTGGCAGTGATGCACAAATCGGAGATTTTACTTACATAGGTCTGAATGGTACTAATGTTATTGATTATGTTATTTCGTCAGCAGCATTATTTGACTATGTACATGATTTCAGTGTACAATCACGCATAGAATCAGACCATCTTCCCATTATATTACGAATAAAATCAAATTGTAATAGACAAGCTGATACACATAATAAATAATCTGAAAATACATACAGGTTTACTTGGGATAATGATAAGTCAGGGCAGTTCAGGGAAAATTTGCTATCCGAGAACGTTCAGGAATTGCTACACAAATTTGTTGATAGTGCTTTCACTAGTATAGACGAAAGTATATCAAATATTACAGATGCGATCTGTTCAGCAGTTTTGTGTATGAGAAAATAAGTTGGTCAATCAAAAACATACTTGAAAAGTTGGTTTGACTCAGATTGCGAAAAAATATAAACTGAAAGATGCAAACTTCTCAGTAAGTTCCGGAAATGTAAAGACAAGCATTCATTTGACCAATATCGCATCGTAAGAAACGAATATATATAATGCACTCTGCAAGAAAAAAAACCCGTCATGACTATTTTAGAGGAAAACGGATAACAATAGAAAATAGCATATCTAACTCCAAACATTTCTGGTCTGAACTTAAACGTTTGAATAACCATAAAGTAAGGCAACCTTAAGGCAACTTTAGGCAACTCTGTTGTAGTGTTGATACAGTAGAGCATAACAATGACCATCATTATCAGGACAATACAGAGCAGACCAACCTGAACCGGCAAATCTCAGAACTTACTGCAACTATACTTGATTCACCAATCACTAGAAAAGAGATTTTTGAAAGTATTGACAATCTTAAATGAAACAAATAACCAGGATTTCATGGCGTGATATCAGAATTCTTTAAACATTCGTCAGACTATATTGCACCATTCCTAGAACTACTATTTAATATTATATTTGAAAATGGTACTTTCCCACATTGTTTGGACGATTGGTATCACTGTTCCAATTCATAAACATGGTGATGCAAACAACCTAAATAACTATAGAGGAATAACATTACTTAGTATCTTTAGTAACATTTATCTTTTATAGTTATAGAGACTTGTGAGCTGGGGAGATACAACGGATAAGATAAATTAGTCGCAAGCTGGATTTAGACATTGATACACCACTGTTGACAACATGTTTATTTTACAAAGTATAATACAAAGATATTTGAATTCAATAGGTGGAAGGTTCTATGCCCTATTTGTAGATTGTGCGAAAGCCTTTGATTCTGTTCAACGCAACAAATTTTGGTCTCTATTTCAATGTCATGGTCTTAGTAACAAAAGGAGTCAATTTTTGTCTAATATGTATGAGAACGTAAAGGCATGTGTTAAGAATAATCAAGAATTACAACTTGGTGTAGGGCAAGGATGTATACTTAGCCCATTCCTGTTTTCATTCTTCATCAATGAACTTGCTGTTCAAATCGAAACTAATTGTTCAAGTGGCATACAACTTCATCAAGGAATAGTCAAAATTTTCCTTCTGTTGTTTGCAGACGACGTGGTGTTGTTTTCAAGCACCGTTAGTAGCCTCCAAAATCAAATAAATGAACTTGAACATTACTGCGATAATGGAAATCAACAGTAAATAGAGAGAGAAAAAATCGTGGTCTTTAAAAAGGGAGGTCTTTAAAAACTTTCTAAAAGAGAAAAGTGGTTGTTTAAGGGTATACATCTAGACTGTGTTAGCTATTACAGATATTTGGGATTTTACCAATGGTTTGTTTTGGATCATGCATGTCAAATATGCTTCCCTCTAAGCGCTAAAATACTTATCGGTAATATGAAGACAATAAGTACACTTGGAGACATTACAAAACCCTTTTTAAGATTTTTGATGCAAAAATAAACCCAATTTTGACGTATGGAGCAGAAATCTGGGGATTTGTAGACTTTCATCAAATGCATGCAAGAAATATCATGGTGTTAAATTGAATACAGTTAACGCAGTGGTTTAAGATGAATGTAGCAGATATCCAATGCACATGTTTACAAGCTCAAAAGTTGTCAAATATTGGTTAGAACTGGTAAATATGCCTCCATATCATTTACCGAAAAAATGTTATGATATGATGCTATTGTATGATGAAAACGGACAAAGAAATTGGACATCTCATGTTAAGAACTTTTTATTCTCTATTGGCTTCGGACACGTTTGGAATGCACAATATGTAGAATATCATACATCATTTGTTCAATCGTGAACCATAAGACTTAGAGACATATATCTTCAAACATGGTATGAGTAAATATTTTTGTAAAGTAAACGTTATTATTTTTCAAAATTTAAAAATGATCTATTCAATGAAGTATACTTATCATGTGTTAATATAAAGAAATTTAGGCGATTACTAGCAAGATTTCGATGTACATCTCACGATTTGTTGATTGAAAGCGGCAGATATAAAAATGTTAAAAAGGAAGAATATGCACACTTTGTAATTTAAATGAAATTGAAGATGAATATCACTTTCTTCTCATCTGTCCATCGTATAATTCAATACGCTGTAAATATATTAAAGGTATTACTATGTCCATCCAAATACTAGGTATCATACAATTCTCTATTTCTTACAAGCAGTAAACATCAAAATATACTCATGCCAATAATGGTTGTCACCCCCCTCCCCCACACACCTCACCTCACCCCCCCTCTCCAATTAAAAAAATTGAAGGGGGTGACAACCATTATTGGCATGAGTATATATTACAAAATCTTGCCATGTTCACTCACAATGCAATGTCGTATAGAACAAAAGTTTTATCAGTGTAATGTAAATATATTTATGCATGTAATTCCCCATCATATGTATATGTACTATAGGCCTGTGGCCTCTTCAGTACGAAATAAGATTGATTGACTTTACTGAGAACGTTTAATGACGAATATAACATATGTAACATAGGGATGACGATGACGACGATGATGATGACGATGATGACGACGACGACGACGATGATGATGATGAAGATGAAGATGATGACGACGACGACGATGATGATGATGGTGATGGTGATGGTGGTGATGATGATGATGATGATGATGAAGATGATGACGACGACGGTGATGGTGATGGTGATGATGATGATGATGATGATGATGATGATGATGATGATGATGATGATGATGATGATGATGATGATGATGATGATGATGATGATGATGATGACGACGACGACGATGATGATGATGATGATGACGATGATGATGATGATGATGGCGGTGGTGGTGGTAGTCATGGGCACGTTAACATTAACACGTACACACATGTACAAATAGATACGTAGATATAAGTTTAGTGTTCAAGTTAAACAGGGAACACAGAGCTACAGACAGGTCGAGCGTCAAGAGGAGAACACAAACACCACCAACAAACACAGCAACACATCTGTTTCCTCTCTAGCCGATAAACGTGATCTCACTGTGGGAAGATCACCATGTCACCACGGCGTCGGTATCATTGAATGGTCCTATTGCACTGGGATTACTTGTCACATGAGTGAGGGAATGAAACCTTCTGCTATCGTGTATCAAACAAAACATGTTTAGAGTATCCAATGACATTATGTTAGCGATCCGAGCATTCGTTAGTAGGAAGGAACGAATGCTTTTCTTTAGAATCGCCCCATTCTTCCCAAGCTGTACTGGCGGTCGTTGTACCTCGGCTTGATCACCTGGCTGTATACATCTACAACAAAGCAGAAATTATTGGAATGGACGTTAGAAATCTGTTTGGTGGTATTACAAACCACGCTAAACCTGAAAGGAAAATGTTAAAAACCTCGAATTAGTATATACAACTGAAGTAAAATGACAATGTAATTAGTGTTGTGTATTCCCTTACCATATCGGCCTTCTGCCAGTTTATGTTATTGCCGCAAATGGTTAGGCTTAGAAAAAAGGAATTATTAAAAGAATGAACTTGGCATGGCTTAAAGTGATAATATATATCATAAACAAAAACATGCAAACATGTATATAAAAAAATAAAACTGTTCGAACCAACATCTTTGTGTTCGCGAACATCACCACCTGCGCATGCGCATGATCCTTTCGCTTGGGGACATGAACTAGTTCTGTGCAAGAAGGCCCAGGTCAACATCAAGCATGCCATTGATTTCATTTCATAAAAGTGCATTTCATAAAAGTTCTATTTAGTTTGCGCCGATCATTCATTCATTCATTCATTCATTCATCAATGAAGGTCCGGGCAACCTATGCTTGGCGTAAAAAGCGACTAACGGGATCAGGTGGTCAGGCTCGCTGACTTGGTTGACACACGTCATCATATTCCAAATGTATAGACCGATACTCGTGCTATTGATCACTGGATTGTCTGGTCCAGACTCGATTACTGACCGCCGCCCTATATCTGGAATATTGCTGTGTGTGGCGTTAAACAACAACATGAGCTGTGGGTTGGCCTGGTGGTTAAAGCGGTCGCTCGTCTAGCCGAACAACCGCGTTCGTCCCCACATGGGTACAATATGTGAAGCCCATTTCTGGTATTCCTCGCCGTGATATTGCCGGAATACTGCTAAAGGCGGCGTAAAACTTAACTCATTCTCTCACATCGTTACACGTTGGAGTACTCACCGACAAAATTATCTTGCCATACTCGTGTTGTCGGTGTCGCTCTGTGGCCGAGGTAGGACCTGTACATATCGTTGTCGACCATGTCTGAAGTAAACAAAAAACACGAACATTTTACCATGCACCCTCGTTAAATGTTAAAAACGTCGGGGAAGTAAAGACCATAGGAATAGTTTGGGGGGTGCAAGATGGAATGGCTACCCTACTTCCCTTACCATAACTCCCTACGGTAACTTGGTTTCATTGCCCAAAAATTCCATTTCACTAAAGTACAAAATGATATATTTGTTGTGCCGATAATTCATTCATTCATTCATTCATGGCACACACACAACTATGTATGGAGGAGGACTTTGAAAGACAGTCACATGTTGGAGTACTGACCGACAAAATTATTGTGCCATCCTCGTGTTGACGGTGTCACTCTGTGGCCGAGGTAGGGCCTGTACATATCGTGGGTGACCATTTCTGAAGTGAAATAGAATAAAAACATAGTACTAAGTATTCTTGTTACCCTAAGCTTCTATCAACAGATATTTCCATACGATTAGACGATATGACGAGGTTTTACGTTGATCTGTGTGTCGACGTAACGGACAACACTCCCCGTATCCAAACTACATCCTTCATTATTCCACAGATTAATAGTTGACAGAATTTACCCGAAGAAGCAGTTGCTTAATATTTTGAGGAGGGACGGTTTTGTTTTTTTCTAAAACAATCAATTCCCCTTCTCAATCAACACAAACCATCTGGACCTGATATAGGAGGAAATATGACGACAGGGCAAGGAAAAGCCCTGTAGCTTTTGTATACAATAAAATGAGTGAGTGAGTGAGAATGGCTTTACGCCAATTTTAGCAATATTCCAGCGATATCATGGCGGGGGACACCAGAAATGAGTTTCACATATTGTACCCATGTGGGGATTCGAACCCGGATCTTCGGCGTGACGAGCCAACGCTTAAACCACTAGGTTACCCCACAGCCCCGTATACAATAAAGAGGTTGACATGCATAATATACAGGAAATATGATGTACCCTTGATTTCTAGCGAACAAGAATACATTTCGATTGAGTGAGAGAGTGAGAGAGAGAGAGAGAGGGGGGGGGGGGGGACAGGGCAGATAATTCCAGCTGATAGCTTGTTATATTCAACTTTAACTAAACTGCAGAATGATGTTACCTATGCTTCGTCTGTCGCTGGAAGTGGTATTCATGCTGAAAATATAACAGAAGAATGTCAAGGAGAGTTGTTTATATCAATGTTTATATTAATGTTTATGTTATACCAAACCTGACATCTGATTACATGACAGACGCGGACATGTAGCGTGACGTGTTTCCTTCTTTGTTTGCCGCCACACTCAGCAATATTCAGTCGGTTTGAAAGAGCCCTGATAATAATGCACCCTATACCAGACAATCCAGTGATGGCATTGTGACCGAGGATCTGCGCTGTCAACGCAACACACAGTCAGTTTTGTCACATGTTTTCAATACAAGCACTGTTCCCATCAGTCTTCAGCCGTGCATGTTTGCTGTTGGCGACAAACGGGATCGGGTGGTCAGGCTGTTGATCAATGGATTGTCTGGTCCAGACTCGAATATTTACAGACAGCCGCCATATTGCTGGAATATTGCTGAGTGCGACGTTAAATAACGCACAAACAAACAAACAAATCCCATCTGTCTGACCAGAAGGACAAGGAGTGATTAAGTTGGGTTTAAGCCGCTATGCACTTCACAACTTGAGCTTGATGGAGGAGGACAGCCGGAAGTGATGTTTACAGCCTATCAAAGAGCTGTTGCATGGAGAACATTCAATCAAACTATTCCATGGATTCATGGATTCGATTCTGTTGATCCGAGGATCTGCCGCGATCAGGGGGCATAACTCTGTGTAGTGAGTAGCACTGGGCTTTTTGTGCTTTGAGAATATTTAACAACTCATCAAAATAAGTCATGCTTTACCTTGATCGTCTAATCCGCTGTCCCTGATCTGAAACAGTCAAATGTGTCAGTTTTATTTGACGATGCTTCTCATATTGTTCATGGCTGAGAAACAGAAGCGGCGGATAATCAGTACAAAACAATCATATGCTCGTGAGAGCGTACTTTACAACTAAATCTACAACTGCTGGATACAGTTTAAGCCATAAAACCTATTTCCTTGTCTTGCTAAATATAATTCCGTAAATCGTCAACTCGTCAACGGGTGAGGATTCAGGGGAGGTAGAATATACATACATACATACATACATACATACATACATACATACATACATACATACATACATACATACATACATACATACATACATACATACATACATACATACATACATACATACATACATACATACATACATACATACATACATACATACATACATACATACATACATACATACATACATACATACATACATACATACATACATACATACATACATACATACATACATACATACCCTTTCTTTTTAAAATTCTTTTTAACAAGATGTTATTCTCAATGCCAATTTGGTCGTTATTGTTTCTCCGAGAAAAAAATCCGTTCTTATAGTACACACCGCGTCCATTCACTCACTCACTCTAATCACACACTAACTCACTCTATTCACACTCACTCTAGTCACACAATCATTCATTCTCGTCACACACGCACTCTAGTGACACACTCACTCTAATCACATATTCGCTCACTCTAATCATAGACTCACTAAGTCTTGTCACACACTCACTTACTCTAGTCACTCTAATCACTCACTCTAGTCACACACACAATCACTCTAGTCATACACACAATCACTCTAGCCACACACACAATCACTCTAGTCACTCTAATCACTCACTCTAGTCACACATCACTTTAGTCACAAACTCACTCTAGTCACACACACTCACTCTAGTCACACACTCACTCACTCTAGTCACACTCACTCACTCACTCTAGTCACACACTCACTCACTCTAGTCACACTCACACACTCTAGTCACACACACTGTAGTCACACACTCACTCTAGTCACACACTCACTCACTCTAGTCACACACTCACACACTCTTGTCACACTTACTCACTCTAATCACACACTCACTCACTCTAGTCACACACACTCACTTTAGTCACACACACTCACTCAAGTCACACATTCACTCACTCTAGTCACACTCACACACTCTAGTCACACACACTCACTCTAGTCACACACTCACTCTACTCAAACACACTCACTTTAGTCACACACACTCACTCTAGTCACACACACTCACTCTAGTCACATACTCACTCTAGTCACAAACTCACTCTAGTCACACATCACCCTAATCACTCACTCTAGTCACACATCACTCTAGTCACACACTCACTCTTAGTCACAGTCACACACTCTCTAGTCACACTCACTCTAGTCACACACACTCACTCTAGTCACACTCACTCACTCTAGTCACACACTCACTCTAGTCACACACTCACTCTAGTCACACACTCACTCTAGCCACACTCACTCACTCTAGTCACACACAATCACTCTAGTCACACACAAGCACCCTAGTCACACTCACTCATACACTCTAGTCACACGCTGACTCTAGTCACACATACTCACTCTAGTCACACACACACATACACTCACCCTACTCACACTCACTCGCACACTCTAGTCGCACACACTCACTCTAGTCACACACACGCTCACTCTAGTCACACACACTCACTCTAGTCACACACTCACTGTACTCACACACTCACTCACTCTAGTCACGCACTCACTCACTCTAGTCACACTCACTCACTATACTAACACATACACTCACTCTAGTCACACACTCACTTTAGTCACACCCACTCGAGTCACACTCACTTTAGTCACACTCACCCACTCTAGTCACACACACACTCACTTTAGTCACACTCACTCACACACTCTAGTCACACACTGACTCTAGTCACACACACTCACTCTAGTCACACACTCGCTCACCCTAATCACACTCACTCACACTCTCTAGTCACACACTCACTCTAGTCACACTCACTCACTCTTGTCACACAAACTCACTCTAGTCACACACACTCACTCTAGTCACACTCACTCACACACACTCTAGTCACACACTGACTCTAGTCACACACACTGACTCTAGTCACACACTCACTCTAGTCACACATCACTCTAGTCACACACACTCACTCTAGTCACACATCACTCTAGTCACACACTCACTCTAGTCACACACACTCACTCTCTAGTCACACACACGCTCACTCTAGTCACACATACACACACACACACATACAACTCTAGTCACACTTCACTCTAGTCACACACTCACTCTAGTCACTCACTTTAGTCACACATTCTCTAGTCACTCACTCACTCTAGTCACACTCTCATTCTAGTCTCACACTCACTCACTCTAGTCACACTCACTCACTCTAGTCACACATACACTCACTCTAGTCACACACACTCACTCTAGTCACACACACACACCCACTCTAGTCACATACGCTCACTTCAGTCACACACACACTCACTCTAGTCACACTCACTCAGTCTAGTCACACACTCACTCTAGTCACACATCACTTTAGTCACACACTTTAGTCACACATTCTCTAGTCACACACTCACTCTAGTCACACACTCATTCTAGTCTCACACTCACTCACTCTAGTCACACTCACTCACTCTAGTCACACACACACTCACTCTAGTCACACACACTCACTCTAGTCACACACACACATACACTCATCCTACTCACACTCACTCACACACTCTAGTCACACTCACTCACTCTAGTAACACACACTCACTCTAGTCACACACATTCACTCTAGTCACACACACTCACTCTAGTCACACATTCACTCTAGTCACACACTCACTCTAGTCACACACTCACTCTAGTCACACACACTCACTCTAGTCACACACACTCACTCTAGTCACACACACTCACTCTAGTCACACACACACATACACTCACCCTACTCACACTCACTCACACACTCTGACTCACTCTAGTCACACTCACTCACTCTAGTAACACACACTCACTCTAGTCACACACATTCACTCTAGTCACTCACACACTCACTCTAGTCACACACACACTCACTCTAGTCACACACACACTCACTCTAGTCACACACTCACTCACTCTAGTCACTCACTCACTCTAGTCACACACTCTCTAGTCACTCACTCACTTTAGTCACACACTCGCTCACTCACTCTAGTCACACACTCACTCACTCTAGTCACACACCCACTCTATTCACACACTCACTCTATTCACACACTCATTTTAGTCACACACTCACTCACTCTAGTCACACACTTACTCACTCTGGTCACACACTCACTCACTATAGTCAAACTTTCAGTCACTTTAGTCACACACTATTCCTTACCCTTTCTGCGGTCCCTGCACGCAGCGATGATGATGATGAAGATGGTGACGAGGATGGCTGCTGCTGCGATGCCGGCGAGGGTGTAGATGGGTGACAGATCAGTTGTTGCGGCAGCCGTTGCCGTTGCAGCTACAGACAAACATCAGCACCATTTTTAATGTAACGTTCATACAAATAAAGCAAATTGGGTTTCTCGTCAGTGAACTCAAAATCTCAAACCGATTCTCCGTCTTTCTCACACCAATGAAAAGAGTGAGTTTAGTTTTACGGTGGGGGTGGCAATATTCCAGCAATATTGCGGCGTACAACACCAGAAATGGGCTTCACCCATTGTACCCATGTGGGGAATCGACCCCGGGTCTTCGGCGTGACCAGTGAATGCTTTAACCACTAGGCTACCCCACCGCCCCATACCAATGGAATCATAACTGACGTCAGACACTGTAGATTACAATATACAGATAACAACAAGTTTCTCAGTAGCATATGCCTGGGTTTTACCACAGCGGTTTTCGCAGTACACCGGGGTTCGTACCCACAATGATAGGTTCCTGGCTTGCCAAAGGGACGCAACTCACAACATCGAATTAGAGGACTGGGCCGCTGGGTGACAGAAAGATGTGGCTAACTTGGCTATACTCACGAATATTTTGAGTAGCAGTCGTCACAGTGACGGTATTGCTTGATACGCCGTTATGTGTGCACCTCCATGGAACATTCTGCTCCTGACTTATTAGGAAAAAGAAGGTCAGGTTGAATTGGTTGCTGCTGACGGTGACGTTGAGGTCTTTTACGACGTTGCCGAAGATGATGGTTTTTGATGTGGGACGGACATTCTTATCTGTGCCGTTTCTGTACCAAACCACCAGATTTGGATCCAGCCCTCCATTCTCTGTACAGGTGAAGGTGAACGGCTTCCCATCTATGGGAGGGTCAGGAAAACTTGTGAGAACTGGGACCCCTGAAGAGAAGGTCCGAGAACATTAGTGATTTCTGGATAACACCAGTCTGCGGTATTCAATTCATGTCACAAGACTTCTAAATAATCAAGTTGGACCTAGTGATTTAAGCACGAGCAACGACCAACGTTCTGGTATACCATCAGAAAAATAAATTAGCTTGATGCAACTGGACGAGATGATATGCTATGGCGTTTTTAGTTGAGTTCAAGATGTGCACATGCTTGTGTGTGTGACAGAGATTATGTGCTAGCCTTCTGATGCCATATGGGGTGAAGGGTAGCCTAGTGGTTAAAACGTTCGCTCGTCACGCCGGACTCCCTGGTTCGATTCCCCACAGGGTACAATGTGTGAAGCCCATTTTTAGTGTCCCTCGCCGTGATGTTACTGCAATATTGCTAAAAGCGGTGTAGAACCATACTCACTCACTCACTCTGATATGTCATGCCTCAGGTTAACGTGTATAACACACTCAGTGAGTGAGTGAGGATTGTTTTACCCCGCTTTTAGCAATATTTCAGCAATATCACTGAGGGGACACCAAATGTGTTGTGGATTTTGGCATGTTACACTAGTTTCTGCAGTGCTTGTGCCAAGTGTTGGAGGTGTATGGGGGTGATGCTGACGATCGTACCAGGAGACATTGATCAACAGCATCGCGTAGATGTTCGATGGGGTTAAGGTCTGGAGACCTCGAGGGCCATGGCAGTACATGGACGTTGCGCTTTGTCAAAGGGACGATGTCAGTGTTGCCAAGTAAATATTGTCGTGTTGAAAATGTTTGCTTTTTGCATAATGGTAATGGAGAGTGGCCGAAGAATTTCATCTGTGTTACGTTATGCCCTTACATTGAACACACTATTATAATAACAAAGACTGCCCGCAGTCTTCCGTCAGTTCAAAGAAGCGAAAAACACGTCTCGTAACTGAACCAAACACGTCTCCAGCGTGGACAGCACTATCCATAAGATCTTATCCTCCATTACACCCCCAGTAAGGAGAGGTCCACATACGGTCTATCTTCGAGTACACCCCCAGTAAGGGGAGGCTCCCACTATCCATATGGTCTATCCTCGAGTTCACCCCTAGTAAGGAGAGGTCCCCACTACCCATACGGTCTATCCTCGAGTACACACCTAGTAAGGGGAGGCCCCCACTACCCATATGGTCTATCCTCGAGTACACCCCCAGTAAGGGGAGATCCCCAGTACACATATACTCTATCATCGAGTGCACCCCCAGTAAGGAGAGGCTCCCACTATCCATATTGTCTATCATCGAGTACACCCCCAGTAAGGGGAGATCCCCAGTACACATATACTCTATCATCGAGTGCACCCCCAGTAAGGGGAGGTCCACACTACCCATATGGTCTATCATCGAGTACACCATCAGTAAGGGGAGGTCCACACTGCCCGTACGGTCTATCCCCGAGTACACCACCAGTAAGGGGAGGTCCCCACTACCCATATGGTCTATCATCGAGTACACCCCCAGTAAGGGGAGGTCCACACTGCCCGTACGGTCTATCCTCGAGTACAACCCCCGTAAGGGGAGGTCCCCACTACCCATATGGTCTATAATCTAGTACACCCCCAGTAAGGGGAGGTCCACACTGCACGTACCGTCTATCTTCGAGTACAGCCCCAGTAAGGGGAGGTCCCCACTACCCATATGGTCTATCCTCGAGTACACCCCCAGTAAGGGGAGGTCCACACTACCCATACGGTCTATAATCGAGTACAGCCCTAGTAAGGAGAGTCCCCACTACCCATATGGTCCAAAATCGAGTACATCCCCAGTAAGGGGAGTCCCCACTACCCATACGGTCTATCATCGAGTACACCCCCAGTAAGGGGAGGTCCACACTGCCCATACGGTCTATAATCGAGTACACCCCAGTAAGGAGAGGTCCCCACTACCCATACGGTCTATCATCGAGTACATCCCCAGTAAGGGGAGGTCCACACTGCCCGTACGGTCTATCCTCGAGTACACCCCCAGTAAGGGGAGGTCCACACTGCCCATACGGTCTATAATCGAGTACAGCCCCCGTAAGGGGAGGTCCCCACTACCCATATGGTCTATCCTCGAGTACACCCCCAGTAAGGGGAGGTCCACACTGCCCGTACGGTCTATCCTCGAGTACACCCCCAGTAAGGGGAGGTCCACACTGCCCATACGGTCTATAATCGAGTACAGCCCCCGTAAGGGGAGGTCCCCACTACCCATATGGTCTATCCTCGAGTACACCCCCAGTAAGGGGAGGTCCACACTGCCCGTACGGTCTATCCTCGAGTACACCCCCAGTAAGGGGAGGTCCACACTGCCCATACGGTCTATAATCGAGTACAGCCCTAGTAAGGAGAGTCCCCACTTCCCATATGGTCTATAATCGAGTACATCCCCAGTAAGGAGAGTCCCCACTACCCATATGGTCTATCATCGAGTACACCCCCAGTAAGGGGAGGTCCACACTGCCCGTACGGTCTATCCTCGAGTACACCCCCAGTAAGGGGAGGTCCACACTGCCCATATGGTCTATAATCGAGTACACCCCCAGTAAGGGGAGGTCCACACTGCCCATACGGTCTATCATCGAGTACATCCCTAGTAAGGAGAGTCCCCACTACCCATACGGTCTATCCTCGAGTACACCCCCAGTAAGGGGAGGTCCACACTGCCCATACGGTTTATAATCGAGTACACCCCAGTAAGGAGAGGTCCCCACTACCCATACGGTCTATCATCGAGTACACCCCCAGTAAGGGGAGGTCCACACTGCCCATACGGTCTATAATCGAGTATAGCCCTAGTAAGGAGAGTCCCCACTACGCATATGGTCTATAATCGAGTACATCCCCAGTAAGGAGAGTCCCCACTACCCATATGGTCTATCCTCGAGTACACCCCCAGTAAGGGGAGGTCCACACTGCCCGTACGGTCTATCCTCGAGTACACCCCCAGTAAGGGGAGGTCCACACTGCCCATATGGTCTATAATCGAGTACACCCCCAGTAAGGGGAGGTCCACACTGCCCATATGGTCTATCATCGAGTACATCCCTAGTAAGGAGAGTCCCCACTACCCATACGGTCTATCCTCGAGTACACCCCCAGTAAGGGGAGGTCCACACTGCCCATACGGTTTATAATCGAGTACACCCCAGTTAGGAGAGGTCCCCACTACCCATACGGTCTATCATCGAGTACACCCCCAGTAAGGGGAGGTCCACACTGCCCATGCGGTCTATAATCGAGTACAGCCCTAGTAAGGAGAGTCCCCACTACGCATATGGTCTATAATCGAGTACATCCCCAGTAAGGAGAGTCCCCACTACCCATATGGTCTATCATCGAGTACAACCCCCGTAAGGGGAGGTCCACACTACCCATATGGTCTATAATCGAGTACACCCCCAGTAAGGGGAGGTCCACACTGCACGTACCGTCTATCATCGAGTACAGCCCCAGTAAGGGGAGGTCCCCACTGCCCATATGGTCTATCCTCGAGTACACCCCCAGTAAGGGGAGGTCCACACTACCCATACGGTCTATAATCGAGTACAGCCCTAGTAAGGAGAGTCCCCACTACCCATATGGTCCAAAATCGAGTACATCCCCAGTAAGGGGAGTCCCCACTACCCATACGGTCTATCATCGAGTACACCCCAGTAAGGGGAGGTCCACACTGCCCATACGGTCTATAATCGAGTACACCCCAGTAAGGAGAGGTCCCCACTACCCATACGGTCTATCATCGAGTACATCCCCAGTAAGGGGAGGTCCACACTGCCCGTACGGTCTATCCTCGAGTACACCCCCAGTAAGGGGAGGTCCACACTGCCCATACGGTCTATCATCGAGTACACCCCCAGTAAGGGGAGGTCCACACTGCCCATACGGTCTATAATCGAGTACAGCCCCAGTAAGGGGAGGTCCCCACTACCCATACGGTCTATCCTCGAGTACACCCCCAGTAAGGGGAGGTCCACACTGCCCATACGGTCTATAATCGAGTACAGCCCCCGTAAGGGGAGGTCCCCACTACCCATATGGTCTATCCTCGAGTACACCCCCAGTAAGGGGAGGTCCACACTGCCCGTACGGTCTATCCTCGAGTACACCCCCAGTAAGGGGAGGTCCACACTGCCCATACGGTCTATAATCGAGTACAGCCCCCGTAAGGGGAGGTCCCCACTACCCATATGGTCTATCCTCGAGTACACCCCCAGTAAGGGGAGGTCCACACTGCCCATACGGTCTATAATCGAGTACAGCCCTAGTAAGGAGAGTCCCCACTACCCATATGGTCTATAATCGAGTACATACCCAGTAAGGAGAGTCCCCACTACCCATACGGTCTATCATCGAGTACATCCCCAGTAAGGGGAGGTCCACACTGCCCGTACGGTCTATCCTCGAGTACACCCCCAGTAAGGGGAGGTCCACACTGCCCATATGGTCTATAATCGAGTACACCCCCAGTAAGGGGAGGTCCACACTGCCCATATGGTCTATCATCGAGTACATCCCTAGTAAGGAGAGTCCCCACTACCCATACGGTCTATCCTCGAGTACACCCCCAGTAAGGGGAGGTCCACACTGCCCATACGGTCTATAATCGAGTACACCCCAGTAAGGGGAGGTCCCCACTACCCATACGGTCTATCATCGAGTACATCCCCAGTAAGGGGAGGTCCACACTGCCCATACGGTCTATAATCGAGTACAGCCCTAGTAAGGAGAGTCCCCACTACGCATATGGTCTATAATCGAGTACATCCCCAGTAAGGAGAGTCCCCACTACCCATATGGTCTATCATCGAGTACACCCCCCGTAACGGGAGGTCCACACTGCCCATATGGTCTATCCTCGAGTACACCCCATTAAGGGGAGGCCCACACTGCCCATACGGTCTATAATCGAGTACATCCCTAGTAAGGAGAGTCCCCACTACCCATACGGTCTATCATCGAGTACACCCCCAGTAAGGGGAGGTCCCCACTACCCATATGGTCTATCCTCGAGTTCACCCCTAGTAAGGGGAGGTCCCCACTATCCATATGGTCTATCTTCGAGTACATCACCAGTAAGGGGAGGTTCCCAGTAAACATATAGTCTATCCTTGAGTACACCGCCAGTAAGGAGAGGTCCCCACTATCCATATGGTCTATCATCGAGTACACCCCCAGTAAGGGGAGGTCCCCACTACCCATATGGTCTATCCTCGAGTACACCACCAGTAAGGGGAGGTCCCCACTACCCATATGGTCTATCATCGAGTACACTTCAAGGCACGGGAGGTCGACACTTCCGATATGGTATAACCTCGAGTACACGCCGAATTAGGAGAGTCCCCAACTACCTATATGGTCTGTCCATATGGTCCGTCAGTACACCTCGACTACACCTCCAAGGATGACCCGAATCATGTGATTCACCGTTTGCCCATATAATGTACAGTGTACACCCCGGGTATTGGTATTGTCTCTGGCTGAAAGCAGTTGCATATCAGAGCAATGGATATGAAGCAATGATCTCTCACTGTACAGTCAGCCACTGTTTAGCAATCACACAGTGGTGGTAAATGACCATACAGCCTGATAGCTTATGCTAATTGGTATTGCGTAATGACTAATCACAATATCATCTGACAATTTATAGCAATGGTTATAAAGTAATAATTTATCATTGTATTTTGACAATTTATAGCAACGGTTATACAGTAATGATTGATCAAACTTTAATATGATAAGTTATAGGAAGAGTTATAAACAATGATGATTCATTATAATGAGAAAATTTATAGCAGTAATTGTTATGAAGTACTGATTAATCGCCATAATCCGATAATTCACAACAAGGGTAATAAAGTAATGATTAATTATCATAATCTGATAATTTATAGCAAGGGTTATAAGTAAATATTAATTATTATAATTTGACAATTTGTAGCAATGGTTATAAAGTAATGATTACGGTCAGTAAAGTAATACAATCTGATAATTTACAAATTTATAGGGACTTTTTCTATAAAGTATTGGTTAATTAACACATAAACTGACGTTATTTCCAATTCGTAATATATGTTTGTTTGTGTGTGTGTGTTGGGGAGAGAGGGACGAGAAGTTCGGTTGTACCTGAGTGGACAATGGCTCTATATACAGCTGGGTAGTCATGTTCAGAGAGGTTTAGCATGAGTCACGTGGGCCAGTGTGTACGCCCAGACGCCTATTCAGTGGCTGACATGATTTAGGATGTATATTTATGTGCTAAAATTTCTGCTTCAATAAGTGTCTTTCGATTTGTGCTTTGATATGTTTTGTGGTTTGTTTTTCATTCTACTCCCCAGCAACGTCACGACGGTGGATGTCATTGGGCTTTGTAATCTGGTTGTTAAAAAAGGGAGGGGTGCACGTTCCAGCTCATTTAAACCAATACGCATACTCAGACAGACAAACAGATAGGAACACAGACAGACAGACAAACAGATAGGAAGACAGACAGACAGACAGTCATCAGTACATGAGACAAGATGAATAGTCATAGTCACTACCACAGGCGCATGCTGTGTATATCTGTGATATAGGACCCGAGTAGTCAGTGCACTTCACTCACTCACTCACACACACACAAATTAGTAGCATTAGCTTAGTGATTGCCGTGTGCTCAGGGTGACTATTTCACAGAAATGAGTGAATATGACACCCGGAACGGGCTTCGATGAGATGTGGGGATTGGAACCTGGGTGTGTGACGTGAAGGCTACCTGTCACAAGTTTGGTTGGTTGGTTTGTGTTTAACGCCACACTAAGCAATATTCCACCTATATAGCGACGGACTGTCAATCATCGAGTCATGACCATACAATACAGTGATCAACATCATCAGCATCGATCTACTCAGTTGCTATACGATGACCAAGTCAGCAAGCCTGACCACCCGAACCCGTTAGTCCCCTCTTGCGACAAGCATGGGTTGCTGAAGATCAATTATCCTAACCCTGATTTTTGACGGGACCTGCCGTAAGAATATTGAAAGAAAATTCATCGAAAAGTAACGAGTAATATTTATTGCAAGCAATGTCGGAGAAGGTTGACTGAGAAGTTAATGTTCAACAAATTAATATAATCCAACCCTCACTGTGTGGGTGTGGGCTCGTCATTATGGAGACTGATATTGTTTCCAAACGAAGCCTGTTAATTTAAGTTCAAAGCTTATAAGTTAACGGGGTAACTATGTGGCGTGTGGTCCTGTGCACAGAGCTCAGGTCACGAATCAGTTGAAGTTAAGCAACGTCGAGCTTAGACAGTCTTTGGATGGGTGACCGTGTTTGACAGCTTGACTCCTGAAAGTTTCTAGGACTTCAGTCCTGCCCAACAACGAAGCACATGTGATACATGTGGTCTCACCTTGTTAAAAATTGCCCCTGGTTGCATAAAATGGATACCCGGTGATGTGACTATTAACCTTCTAGCCCCTCACAGACAGATTGGGTCATCCGGGGTAATAATAATCAGGTTCTGATTACAGCGTCCAGCATTAGTCAGATAGATACTAGCCGCTATATAAATGAATGAATTATTATTATTAATAATTGCTTAAAGTAATAATTAAACCGAAGACAGTCCAAGCAACTCCTTCCAGTTGTGTATGACCGTATACAGGGGATGTCATGATTTGCTTGTACAACAGAAACCAGAATGTAATATTGCCTTGCTTAACTATTTAATTACGTAGGTGGGTTACAGTTTATTAGTTATTTTAATAAGCTACACATTTTTCTCAGTCTTAGGTAGGTAACATATATAACGTACCTTTGCTAGTAGAAATCCACAGACAGTACACAAGAACTGATAAGCAACCCGCGGGAACGTTGTAGAAATCCATCCTCTTCTGTCAAACACTGACTTACTTTAACTCCTGGAGGCGTCTACCAACACCCGACAGCAGATATACCCGCCCTCAGCATGAAAGACCTTGGGCGCTGTCAAGTATTAATTCCTTTCAATAAGCCCACTTTTTACGTGCTTTAAAATTCTTTCAAGAAAGATACATCCTCTAACATTTACAAATATATGACAACCCCCGCCAACAGCCAGTAGGCGACCGCCATTCATACATTCCTGTTTTCGGCATAAATAATTCAAAAGGCAACCCCAGGTCGCATATAGCTTCAATGGAATGTTTTAGACGCCAGTACAATACAGCCACACAGTTATAGCTCAAACTATATTCAAAGCTGCTGGTGTACAAATGTGTTTGCAAGTATGACCGAGCATGGACAAAGAAAAACTTCTCGTGAAGTCAATGTGCACCCTATTGCCAGTGGAATATAATTCAATAACTCAGCTGCTGACTGAGAAGAAAAACTGGGGGGGTCCTAGTAGACTAACAACTAGTCTCTGAAATGAACATATTTTACAGAAACTAAAAACAGTTCATAGTAAAAACAATAAAATATAATTAAAAAGGAGCCCTGAAACTTTCTTCTAGAAACTGTGGAAATCTAGACTTGCCACATATTCTAGACTTACATGGGCTTTCTTGGATATATTTGTGTCAGGGTCTGCTATCTTTGATTCCGTAAACAGGCCCCGATTTCTCGAAAGAAACTTAAGTCTGAGTTTTGACTTAAATTTGAGAAAAGGCAGGAAAATGCATCTCCCAGAAAGAACTGAAATCGATATTAAAATGAAACATAGTAGGCAATTTGAGTTTAATGGATAGATTACTTAAGTTGTTTGGGCTTTTTTATTTTAAAAATGCAGTTGAGTTAAAATTCAGCTGTTTCAAATAGTCAAACTCAGTTTGAAATTTGAGTAAAAACTTAAGTTTGTTTCGAGAAATCGGGGCCTGGCCCTGCATTTTTAAAATACAAAAAGCCCAAACAACTTCAGTATTCTATTCACCAAACTTAAATTATCTACTATGTTTGAATTAAATATCGATTTCAGCTCATTCTGGAAAATGCGTTTTCTCAAATTTGAGTAAAAACTCTAACTTAAGTCAAAACTCAGACTTAAGTTTGTTTCGAGAAATCGGGGCCTGGTCACCTAGTGACACGTTCCAAAAGTTATTACCTAGTATAGAATATGATTGTAATTAGCTTCCTTAAAGGGTGGCGGGATATAGGAGGTACACATGGGGAGCTACATGCTTGTAAACTGGTGCACACCCCGTTGGCAAGTATACTGATTCTGACAACATGGATGTTGAAACATGTTTTGTCTACTAAGACCGTAAGATCAGACCTCGCGGAAGGTGTGACGGGGTGGAGAGACACATAAAAAAAGGTGTGGCAGGGTGAGACACATATGTCGGGGGTTGGGTGACACATGTATAAATGGGTGTGGCGGGTTGGGGGAATACATGTATGGACGTGGCAGGGTGAGACGCGTGTGTCGGTGGGTGGTGAACACATGTATGGACGTGGCAAGGTGAGACGCGTGTGTCGGTGGGTGGTGAACACATGTATGGACGTGGCAGGGTGAGACGCGTGTGTCGGTGGATGGGGAACACATGTATGGACGTGGCAAGGTGAGACGCGTGTGTCGGTGGGTGGTGAACACATGTAGGGGTGTGGCGAGGTGGGGGAACACATGTATCGGTGTGGCTGGGTGGGACACGTGTGTTGGTGGGTGGGGATTCATGTATGGAAGAGGCATGGTGAGACACATGTTTCGGTGGATGGGGAACACATGTAGGGGTGTGGCGGGGTGGGGGAGATCACATGTATCGGTGCGGCAGGGTGAAACACGCGTGTCGGTGGATGGGGAACACATGTATCGGTGTGGCAGGGTGAAACACGCGTGTCGGTGGATGGGGAACACATGTAGGGGTGTGGCGGGGTGGGGGAGATCACATGTATCGGTGCGGCAGGGTGAAACACGCGTGTCGGTGGATGGGGAACACATGTATCGGTGTGGCAGGGTGAAACACGCGTGTCGGTGGATGGGGAACACATGTATCGGTGTGGCAGGGTGAAACACGCGTGTCGGTGGATGGGGAACACATGTATCGGTGTGGCAGGGTGAAACACGCGTGTCGGTGGATGGGGAACACATGTAGGGGTGTGGCAGGGTGAAACACGCGTGTCGGTGGATGGGGAACACATGTATCGGTGTGGCAGGGTGAAACACGCGTGTCGGTGGATGGGGAACACATGTATCGGTGTGGCAGGGTGAAACACGCGTGTCGGTGGATGGGGAACACATGTATCGGTGTGGCAGGGTGAAACACGCGTGTCGGTGGATGGGGAACACATGTATCGGTGTGGCAGGGTGAAACACGCGTGTCGGTGGATGGGGAACACATGTATCGGTGTGGCAGGGTGAAACACGCGTGTCGGTGGATGGGGAACACATGTATCGGTGTGGCAGGGTGAGACACGCGTGTCGGTGGATGGGGAACACATGTATCGGTGTGGCAGGGTGAAACACGCGTGTCGGTGGATGGGGAACACATGTATCGGTGTGGCAGGGGTGAAACACGCGTGTCGGTGGATGGGGAACACATGTATCGGTGTGGCAGGGTGAAACACGCGTGTCGGTGGATGGGGAACACATGTATCGGTGTGGCAGGGTGAAACACGCGTGTCGGTGGATGGGGAACACATGTATCGGTGTGGCAGGGTGAGACACGCGTGTCGGTGGATGGGGAACACATGTATCGGTGTGGCAGGGTGAAACACGCGTGTCGGTGGATGGGGAACACATGTATCGGTGTGGCAGGGTGAAACACGCGTGTCGGTGGATGGGGAACACATGTATCGGTGTGGCAGGGTGAGGCACGTGTGTCGGTGGATGGGGAACACATGTATCGGTGTGGCAGGGTGAGACACGCGTGTCGGTGGATGGGGAACACATGTATCGGTGTGGCAGGGTGAGGCACGTGTGTCGGTGGATGGGGAACACATGTATCGGTGTGGCAGGGTGAGGCACGTGTGTCGGTGGATGGGGAACACATGTATCGGTGTGGCAGGGTGAGGCACGTGTGTCGGTGGATGGGGAACACATGTATGGGTGTGGCAGGGTGAGGCACGTGTGTCGGTTGGTGGAGATCACATGTATCGGTGTGGCAGGGTGAGACACGCGTGTCGGTGGATGGGGAACACATGTATCGGTGTGGCAGGGTGAGGCACGCGTGTCGGTGGATGGGGAACACATGTTTCGGTGTGGCAGGGTGAAACACGCGTGTCGGTGGATGGGGAACACATGTATGGATGTGGCAGGGTGGGACACGTGTGTCTGTGGGTGGGGAACACATGTATGGATGTGGCAGGGTGGGACACGTGTGTCGGTGGGTGGGGAACACATGTATGAAAGTGGCAGGGTAGGTGAGATGACCTGTATCGAAGTGGCAGGGTGAGACACGAGTGTCGGTGAATGGGGAATACATGTATGGGTGTGGCAGGGTAGGGGAGATGACCTGTATCGAAGTGGCAGGGTGAGACACGTGTGTCGGTGGGTGGGGAACACATGTAGGGGTGTGGTGGGGTGGGGGAACACATGTATGGACGTGGCAGCGTGAGACACGTGTGTCGGTGGGTGGGGAACACATGTAGGGGTGTGGCAGGGTGAGACACGCGTGTCGGTGGGTGGGGAACACATGTAGGGGTGTGGCAGGGTGAGACACGTGTGTCGGTGGGTGGAGATCACATGTATGGGTGTGGCAGGGTGAGACACGTGTGTCGGTGGGTGGGGAACACATGTATGGGTGTGGCGAGGTGGGGTAACACATGTATGGGTGTGGCAGGGTGAGACACGTGTGTCGGTGGGTGGGGAACACATGTATGGGTGTGGCGAGGTGGGGGAACACATATATGGGTGTGGCAGGGTGAGACACGCGTGTCGGTGGGTGGGGAACACATGTATGGGTGTGGCGAGGTGGGGTAACACATGTATGGGTGTGGCAGGGTGAGACACGTGTGTCGGTTTTGGGGGAACACATGTATGGAAGTGGCAGGGTGAGACACGTGTGTCGGTGGATGGGGAACACATGTATGGGTGTGGCGAGGTGGGGTAACACATGTATGGGTGTGGCAGGGTGAGACACGTGTGTCGGTGGATGGGGAACACATGTATGGGTGTGGCAGGGTGAGACACGTGTGTCGGTGGGTGGGGAACACATGTATGGGTGTGGCAGGGTGAGACACGTGTGTCGGTGGGTGGGGAACACATGTAGGGGTGTGGCGGGGTGGGGGAACACATGTATGGGTGTGGCAGGGTGAGACACGTGTGTCGGTGGGTGGAGATCACATGTATTGGTGTGGCAGGGTGAGACACGTGTGTCGGTGGATGGGGAACACATGTAGGGGTGTGGCGGGGTGGGGGAACACATGTATGGGTGTGGCAGGGTGAGACACGTGTGTCGGTGGGTGGAGATCACATGTATTGGTGTGGCAGGGTGAGACACGTGTGTCGGATGGTTGAGGTCACATGTATCGGTGTGGCAGGGTGAGACACGTGTGTCGGTTTTGGGAGATCACATGTATTGGTGTGGCAGGGTGAGACACGTGTGTCGGTTGGTTGAGGTCACATGTATCGGTGTGGCAGGGTGAGACACGTCTCTCGGGGTTTGGGGTGACACATGTATCGGAGTGGCAGGGTGAGACACATGTGTCGGTGGATGGGGAACACATACAGGGGTGTGGCGGGGTGGGGGAGATCATATGTATGGGTGTGGCAGGGTGAGACACATGTGTCGGTGGATGGGGAACACATGTAGGGGTGTGGCGGGATGGGGCAACACATGTATCGGTGTGGCAGGGTGAGACACGTGTGTCGGTCGATTGGGAACACACGTGTGGGTGTGGCGGGGTGGGGCAACACATGTATCGGTCTGGCAGGGTGAGACACGTGTGTCGGTGGGTGGGGAACACATGTTGGCGGGGTGAGGGAACTTATGAGACACGTGTTTTGTGGCAGGGGTGGGGAGAAACATATATATTATCTACGACATAAATACATCTCGGGCACAACAAGTATAAATATCGAATGTGTATTTCAAGTTTGTATTGAGTTATCTTAAAAATATGTGTACGATACAAACTTAGCCCTTCACCTGTCTTAGAACTGAATATTCGGGGAGCATTAGATGACACAGTCCTGTCACACTCTTAACAGCTATCGGGGTAGATATTGACATCTACTGGAGACACAGATATTAAAAGCGTTGCCGTCGTTACAATGCATGATAGTGTTTAGTGTTAAAAATGTCTTGTTACGGCAATCGCAAAGAGTCTTATATTTACAACATTCCTCAGCTTGCTTTGATGTTTGCTTTGATGCTTGCCTGAAAGACGCTATGTTGCTTCAATACTGGTTCGATATTATGTTGTATACTTTTTTCACTTCCTTTCAGTCAAGGCTGACAAAAGCTTTACGTTGCGGGTCGTGTTATTGTGGAGTTTTCAGGGCGTGACAAACGTGACTTTTATTACAGTCTCAAATGCGTCATGTATCGCGATGCAGAATTCAGAATAATGAAGAAGAAGAAGAAGAAGAAGAAGAAGAAGAAGAAGAAGAACATTGTTTATTAAAGTGTCACAAGTTGTACATCATAAAAGGCATCATAAAATATAGACATAAAATTTTGTACAACATCCGGCAATTACGGTCTATGAGACACTATATTGCATTTAGGGACAATAGTTAAAAGTAGATAAGAAATTACTAACAGCTATTAAAATAGTGTAATATTACTGGGAATGCGAAATTTGTCTGCGAGGTTTAAAGAAGGACCACAAGGTGAAGTTAAATAGTGAAGAGGTAGGTTAATTTGTGAATTGACGACGCCTCAACATGCGTGGGAGAAAAGCGGCTACTTGTTTAATAAACTGGCTATCTTGCATAATGAGAGTTACCTGGACAACAGGTGTACTCGGTAAAGGAAGGGTAGACTGCCGTGATGTCCACCGTTCCATAAGTCATATCTGATATCCGAAAAAAACTACAGCGTGCCAAGAAATGAATTTTGTCCTCGACTTCATTACTGTTACATTTACTGCAAATACGTTCTTTCCAAAAGGGGTCTTAGGTCGGTTAAATCTGCCAAGTTCCACCTGTAAAGGTAATGTACCACGACGGAATTTGTAAATATACTACGTTGTGATCTGTCTAAATAGTGATGGCGTAGCTCTCTGTACACGGATATTGCTTAAATAGACGAAATGTGCGTAATTTGTAACCATTCTATTGCCCCTGTCATTCCACAGCTTTGAGAGCCATTCCCTATGGTATAACGTTAAGAGCCATTCCCTATGGTATAACGTTAAGAGCCATTCCCTATGGTATAACGTTAAGAGCCATTCCCTATGGTATAACGTTAAGAGCCATTCCCTATTCCTGTATGTTTACATCAATGATTTGGAGCTGTAAAGAACTAAATAATGACAGTACATTATTATACCATGATTTTCTGAATTTAGTAGACCCCTGCTAATGGCGTTGAGCATTGTACTATGGCTGTTAAAATGCAGCTCATGTCAAAATCTAACAATTTCAATATTACGTTAGGCAAAGGCAGAACACCAGACACTTTCACCCCTGACTATAATATTTTGGGAGTCTTACTGTTAAGACCTAAAAATAACCTGTAGGCACGGTTTCTGACAGCATTTATACAGCTGAATTGCCGTGTGCACCAAATAGCTGAGGCATATAATAAAATAGGCTGGACTAAATTGTGGACAAAGGTATTCAAAACATCAATAGCCAGTTTTAAATTTATAAATTATAACGCCCAAAGCACGGCTAGCAGAGTTAGCCAGTTCTTTAGCTGTAAGCTTCAACACAAGCTTCCAGGTATGTGTAGGGATGGTTGTACTCTGTTATACTGTCACCGAAGGTAAACGTACATTGAGATCTTTTCATAGACACAGGGCGAAAATTGGTAACTTTCGTTTCGCCAATATTTACAGAAGCCTCCATCGAGAGCACCAGTCAGCCACACAATACAGCAGTCGTTGGAAACAAGGTTCGTCGGGTTCAAGGGGAGCTATGTCACCTGCGTCGTGTAACATACTAAGCATAACATGGTCTATTCTAATACCACAAGACAGACAGTTAATTTCATCGGATAAGGGAATTACTATACAGCGAAAATAGCGTAGGCGACATCACGCAGCCCTGACGAACACCAGAGATAACTGGACATGGGTTTGCAAGAACGTTATTAACGCGGACGCTTAACCATGTATTAGCATACGTTGCCTGCACTGCGTCAAGAAATCTACCCTGAATCCCACCTTGTCTAAGCTTATACCACGGGCAATCACGATTTACTTTGTCAAAAGCTTTTCGTATATCAATAAAACGAATAAATGTAGACTGGTGTGTTAACTTTCTGTTACTAATGACTGAGAGTAGAGTATAAATATGTCCAGTGGTACTACGTTTAGCACGGAAACCATTCTGTTCATCTGCTAAAACATGATTATATTCCAACCAGTTACTTCTTGCAAACAAGGATAAGTTGAGCACCGAGCTGACAGTTGACCCGTTTGAGTACATATGAGTGCTGCCATTGTTAGAGATATATTGCGATACACTCTTCTGTATTGCGATGCGTATTGCAATATATTGTGAAAGAACAGTTATTGAGATCTGTCCACTTGTTAATATTCTTTTACCTTCAAATTGAATCACAGTCTATGTGAGTAACCATTGTGCAATGGTATAGCTGCTTTCAAAGTGACAAAAGGAAAATCGAGAACATTCTTCTGTTAATATTTTTATTTTAAAACATCAGGGATCAACACTCACTAACATTATTAACTGGCCCTCCGGGCTGGTGGATTTTGTATGTCACTAGTCCTACGCTTTACTATAAAGAAAACTTTCAACAAGTCTTTCTTTTAATTGTAACTGCTGTCCAAAGGAAAGTTTCATATTCAAGTTTCTCATTTCATATATATGACACATTCAACTGAAACTAGCTTACGCCATGTCCTCCATCGACCCACCCATACTATTTATATACTTTAACTTCTTTAATCAGCAAAGGATGTTGAATTTCAAATAATTTAAAGAGTTAAATAATTTACTGTACACATCTCTATCACTCCAGAAAAATTTAATTGAAGTCACAATCATGTGACGTGGTCTTAAAGTGTACATTCTAATCAAAACGATGATTTATGCAACTTGTCTTTGAATAAAAGCATTATTAACATTACCTATTTCATGAATGACGTTTGGTACACATTCACATAAAGAAATGATTTAACAAAACACTCACGATAGGCAAAAGTCACTTTGTATCAGGTAAAGTAAACTTTCTTTAGACTGAATAGAATAATGAAAACAAAAATTAAACATGAGAAACATAACCTTATAATAAGATAGAAGCCTACGTTTATAAAGGAAAATATCAGCTCGTGAAACATCATTACTATGTCATACACCATTTAATTTTTTTAGGTCTAATCCACCTGTTGATAAATACCAAAGGTATGTTTATCATATTATTCAAATAATACATACATACATACATACATACATACATACATACATACATACATACATACATACATACATACATACATACATACATACATACATACATACATACATACATACATACATACATACATACATACATACATACATACATACATACATCCTTTGAAAAGCGTTATATGCTTAAAAACTACCTGTGCTTCTTTTCTGTAAACACACACAGAGAGAGAGAGAGAGAGAGAGAGAGAGAGAGAGAGAGAGAGAGAGAGAGAGAGAGAGAGAGAGAGAGAGAGAGAGAGAGAGAGAGAGAGAGAGAGAGAGAGAGAGAGAGAGAGAGAGAGAGAGAGAGAGAGAGAGAGAGAGACACACACACATCCCTTCATGCCTAGCCATGGATTAATACTCGCAGCAAAATGGGCTGTTGTCATGAAGAACCCCCATCATAATCCACCATCGAGGTGGGCTGCAGAGTTTAACAATGGCAGCAGTGTGATACCAACATAAAGGAACCTTTTACAGGCAAACAAAGGAACTGTTTCTATTGTATAATACTTGTTATATCCCAGATCCACCAAGTAACGTCTTGACCCCCATGATCCTTGATGTTGGATACCCATTAATATGACACGTGTAATATTACAGTGATATCGTCAAGTACATCACCATCCATTAAAGTTATCTCTTGGTCTATGTCGCCATCAAACACGGCTGACTGCTTTCTTTTGGACGACGCTCATCGCTCTCTCATAATATATTTAACGGGGTGCAGATGGCTCACAAAAGTATTGAAAAATAAATCAAGTTGTATTTGAGTGAAACCATTTATTTTGCCAATGTAACATATTAGGCTGCTTAAACACAACGGAAATTCAACAAGAATTGAAAGCTTTTGAAAATACATATATAGCAAGCTAACTAGATAAATACACTCTTAGAGAATCCTAACACTGACTAGATAAATACACTCTTAGAGAATCCTAACACTGACTAGATAAATACACTCTTAGAGAATCCTAACACTGACTAGATAAATACATGTATAGCAAGCTAACTAGATAAATACACTCTTAGAGAATCCTAACACTGACTAGATAAATACATGTATAGCAAGCTAACTAGATAAATACACTCTTAGAGAATCCTAACACTGACTAGATAAATACACTCTTAGAGAATCCTAACACTGACTAGATAAATACGCTCTTAGAGAATCCTAACACTGACTAGATAAATACACTCTTAGAGAATCCTAACACTGACTAGATAAATACACTCTTAGAGAATCCTAACACTGACTAGATAAATACACTCTTAGAGAATCCTAACACTGACTAGATAAATACGCTCTTAGAGAATCCTAACACTCACAAGATAAATATACTCTTAGAGAATCCTAACACTCACTAGATAAATATACTCTTAGAGAATCCTAACACTGACTAGATAAATACACTCTTAGAGAATCCTAACACTGACTAGATAAATACACTCTTAGAGAATCCTAACACTGACTAGATAAATACACTCTTAGAGAATCCTAACACTGACTAGATAAATACACTCTTAGAGAATCCTAACACTGAAATGTCACCTAAGCCGGTAAAAATACACACCTAGAAAGCAGTCATGGCCCAAATTACCAAGCCTGGGTGTACATGTTTCCTTAAAGGTCACATGCAACCAAAAAATCAAACATAATTAAAACACAATTATCACTTAGTCATGACATATAATATACATTGCTGGTTATGAAAAAAACATATAAACAAAATTATAAGCGTACAATCGCAAATCAAAAGTGCAATATTGTGTACTTCGGTTTACTTCCCAAGAAACGAAGCAGCCGGGATACCGAACCCAGTCAGAGCGGGTGGGTGTGCACTCAAGTGTAACGGCTGGTTCATTTGCATATGCCCTTGTGTGTGTATATGTAGAGATGTTGGGTTTTGTAAATACATGCTCATTTTTTTGTGTATAACATTTTGCAATCAACAGACATCAAAACATGTCATGTGTTCAACTATCACACCTGCCTGTCTGAGTGACAGAGACCGAACTCGGGCCATAAATCAATGCATTTTGTTTATGGTGTATAGCCTGATTGGTGTTAAGTTCAAATTGCATGTGGTCAGTGACAGCAGCTGTGTATTGAAAATTGTCATTAGCAGACAGGCAGGCAGACACACAGGTGTCAATAAAACAAGACATTGAGTTTTGTCTATGACAACGACATATCTATATCAGAGTTAGAAATTCTGTCAACGCTAAATAATGACATTGCTTTTAAGTATCGAACTGAGAAAGTGACTCGGTAAGAAGAACGTGCGGTGAAATTATATAAACAGTTAATTTACTGTCATAACATACAAAAAGCTCGCGCCTGTGAGATATCAACAAAACATTAGAAAAATAGCTCACACCAAAGCCTTCACCGAGTATTCACCGGACAACCCACTTCCAAGCTGCGCGAACCTATTTCACTGCGCACGTGCTATGAGCGCAGCCCAGCTGTTGAAACTCGTTTTCCCCAGAAAAGTCTGGGGAAAATTAGTGAAACGTTTGAACTCCGATTTCGCGCGTTTTTTTCATCGCGTTATTTTTCAACTTTATAAGTTGAATTTGCATTTTTGACGATTTGTTTCGGTAAGTCCATACCGAAAGGTATCAGAATCTGCAAAGTTGTGTTTTACGTTGCATGTGACCTTTAACACTGTAACTGTGTTCTTGCTGGGTAGACTAACTAATCCCCAGCAAGTACACTGCAGGATAAAACATGCTAAACTTGGAAACATTGAACTGTCTGAAAGCAAACTTTAGGAACGCAGGATATACATGAAACAAAATGTCATGAAGTGAAAAATACTCTCAAATGATCTGAAAGTTCAATCATTAAACATATGTGTCAGCTATTTAAGGAGGAAATATAGTTAATAGTTTTCCAACCACTATATATCGGGAGTCCCCAAAAAAGTGAACCGGTTTTTGACAAGTATTTTCTCAGCGATAGATCAACCGAATTTATTAAAACTGTTCACAGAGCAACCCTAGGGTATCATCAACAAGTCTACAAAATATCTAAGAGAGTGGTCGCAAATTATGCGAGTATTGTCAAATTCAAACAAGCATGTAAAAAAATGCAATATCAAGGGAAAACTCACTTATTTCGGTCTATGCTCAGTGTGGCCTCCTTCTTCCACAACTAAACGACGCCGTTTCTTCCAAGTAGAAATGCTTTGACGTATTTCTTCCACCGATATCTCCTCCCATAACATAATTATCCTGTCCTTTAACGCCTGCTCGGTCAGTTTGTTTCTCACTCCTCGGTAAACTTTCTCGTTTAGAGAGTCCCATATGGCATAATCCATTGGGTAACAGTCAGGACTTGTGGAGGCCATTCATCCTTCTTGATGACTTCTGGTGTAGCTTCCTCCAGAATGGCCTGGGTGACCCTACTTGTGTATGAAGGATCCCGATCTTGCTGTAACACGTAGTTCTTTCTATGGTAAAGTCGCCATCAATCCGGGAGAAGATTGTCATCCAATAGCTGAATGTAGCTTTCAGTATTAACCTTGGCTCTGTCAGTGTCAATAAAATGAATGTTTGGTTTTCCTTCCCAGAATACTCCAGCTGAAACCGCGCGGTGGGCGAACTGGCTAAAGCGCCAGGCTAGTGATCCAGCGAATTGAGGTGACGGGATCGAGCACACCTGTGACCGGGTGTAAAAACCTTGGAGTCAACTTTGTGTGCAGACTCTTTCAGTGTTGTCACAACCCCTAGTGTACAGTACAGAACCCTGTGCACTTAAAAGAACCCACGAATCCGTTGGTATATGACCAGATGGTGGCCACATGAATACGTGCAAACACCCAGTTGCGGGTACAGCAACGTGCAGTAAACTTGGACAAAGTACTGTAACTGTGTGTCCCAGTCCACCCAGCTGTGTATGGGTACCTCGTAAGGATTTGAATGCCACAATAACTCGTTGCGCCTAGTGGCTGCAAGAGTTGCATGCTCCCCCAGGGAGTTGAGATTGAGATACAAAATGAATGTATGGATGGATGGATGGATGGATGGATAGATGGATGTGTGTGTGTGTGTGTATGTATGTATGTACGTATGTATGTAATTGTGTATGTGTGTATGTGTGTATGTGTGTATGTGTGTATGTATGTATGTATGCATGTATTTATGTATGAATGTATGAATGTATGTATGTATGTATGTATGCATGTATGCATGTATGCATGTATGCATGTATGCATGCATGTATGCATGTTTGTATGTATGTATGTATGTATTATCTTTTCTGAAAATCTCACGATAGATTCGAGATGTCTGAATGGACCGAGCCGGTTTATCTATCGCTGAGATAATACTACCGGTCAAAAACCGGTTCACATTTTGGGGGGACACCAGATATAAAGCACATTATAAGTAACGAACATTTTAGGCAACGTTATGTCTTCAGAAACACTGTCTTGTCTTCAGACAGACTTAAACTGGACAGAACAATCATATACAGATTTAATACGCTTGGGAGCTATTTTTTTAGTCGACTTTATCTTCATAAATCTTATTTTTTTAAAGGCAGAAAAGTAAACTATTCTCAAATCTACTTTGGGGTATAAATTTTAAATAATGATACAGTAACTGTAATTATTTAACATGAGACTATCAACGAAAATTCTGGAAATAATAGGACCTTAGCTTAATTTTAATCCAATCGCAGCGACAGAAATATCCGTTACTGGGATGAAAGGTTGTTATTGATGTTATGGTAATGTTTCTATTGCCCAGTTGTAAGTCTGTCTTATCAAATACAGAGTGACATTACTTTGTAAACTCTGAAACGTGACTTATAACAAAACAGTAAGTGATTGTGCCATGTTTTTATTTAGAAATGAAATGTTCGTTACATCCTTACTTCCTATTTCAGATGACTCTCAATTTTATGTCTTTGGTGATTGTATGCATCCTCTTTGACTTCCCCGATAGGATAGGAGTCACGTGATATTTGAAAATAGTATCAGAACTTCACAAGCTATGTAGTTTCGAATACCCTGGTAACAAACATTTCAGTAACGGAGATTACATACTCTGGCAAGTCAAGCAGTATGTTACCATTAACCACACACAAGCTTTCAGTATTTTTGTTCTTTTCCCATCTGGCACATTTCGTGTTCTAATATAACTTGAACTATGTGAAAAAGAGCACAATTCCCTAATTTGGTGGCGGACACGGACATTTCACTCTTATTTCTACGCATGACTATTTCTGTGAGAGAGATGTAATGACAAGTACGTACCATAATGTAAAGATAAATTGTATTCATTCAAAGTGTATGGGTCAGATTATGCTTTGTTCTACACATGTACATATCTGGCTGAACATTAGTCACACACATTTCCTAAAACTGGCGAGACCAAATTCATTTAAATAAAAAGAATCCATTGGCTTAACAATTTGCAGAAAATACTTTTGACCAATATCAATGTCCTATTGTGCTAATATCCAGGTATTTGTATACCAGACTGCATTAAGTTTAACTACATCCAACCATACTGATAATAATATTTGCTAATTAAGTTTAAGAGACAGCATTTGCACCCTGTTATTGAGACTGAGCCTCATCTTATGTGGCGGGGTTGAGTCTTGCCCGGATACATCGAGGCCGTCTTAACTTCGGATCGTCCGGATTTTAGTAATTTCAAAATGGCTACTGTAGTGGAAAACGTGAAGTTAAGCGATGTTGAATGGCTTGTTATGCGAGCTCGTGGGTTTTCAAAGACTGACATCTTTGCTGCAAAGGCTTGGTTGATAACTGCACGATCTCTGTTTCCAAGATGCTTTCTTATACAGGTGTGTAAATAAAGTCTATTTGCTGACATTAGTGACAAGATTAATTCAGCGGTTCAGAATCACAGGCAGGTATCATCATCGGCCTGTGTGAAGGAAAAGCCGATTGCCGCACATATAACCTACACAGGATGTAGGAAGTCGCTGGAATTAGGTACCATACAACGACATCAGTTGTGACAACTTCGTTTTCAATCAAGAATCCAGGCAGAATTGTGGGTCAACTTACCCAATTTACTCCTACATTGCTAAACATCTCAGAGGCAGTCGAGACCAGTGAAACGAGTCATGGCCTGCAGGCAGTGCTCATTGAGATATGTGTAGTTTTGTTAATAGTAACCTGATACCATGATCCAGTTGGTAGATTCAGTGAATTTTAAAAGAAAATAGTTTTGAGTCCTGGAATGAAAGCAAATGTTTGTGTTTAAGCAAAAATAAAGTTCTTTTAAGACATGAGAAAATTGGGGAAATTACTGGATAAAAATACTAGGCATATATAGAGAATACTACACGAGGTCTCATTACATACGAATTATACGAAACGAGTGTCCTTCCTGTGGTATCTGACCGAGCGAAAGCGAGGTCAGATAACATAGGAAGGTCACAAGTTTCGTATAATTCGTATGTAATGAGACCGAGTGTGGTATTTTATTTATTACCCACGTCTTACATGCATGAAATTGACAAAATAGCGTATTTTTGTTATGTTTTTGGTTTCAAACCGAAACCGGTTTCATAAAGAGGTTGCGGAAGAGTTTTGTACTGTAGTACAATATTTGCATGATGTCACACTGTAATGACGTCACTGCCTTGGTAACCAACGTCACGATGCATGTCAGTTGTCATCGCCTCGCACAGCCTCCTACAGTAAACTACCCGTAGCACCTCGCTTCTTGGTTTCCAGTTGCTTCATTCGCTAACATCACTGGTGGAAACATTGCGTTTATGTTTTTAGAAGGATATAATGTCTCAGTTCGACTCACAATTAAACAGCGACACGGCAACGTTCGCAATGTTTACATTCCCACAATGCATTTAAGTTGTAGAATGAATGAATTCACGTGTTTGTTATGAATGAAAAAATAGTTACGTCAGAATGTGACATAATTGAGAAGTCATCGGTTATCCAATCAAATGGTTAGAATCTCAGGTCAAGTCGTTACGACACAGGTCAACGCGATACGACACTCGTGTGACGTACGAGATTAGTATGCAACTACCCATACGTTGACCTCGTGGGGAATAATATTGCATACCGAATTTTCAAACAAGTTAGGATTACAGTTTTTGGTAGGTAACTGCACTCTTTCTGATGTGACAAATCACTGTCACTTCCTGCCAGACCGGTTCTTCTTGACCTACCTTTATCTGATTCTGCTTCAGTTTGAGTCCTACCAGCTTGAAAAATCCTCCAAGAATGTGAAAGATGCTGCAAAACACCTGGAAGAGATGTGAGTTCTGCAGGAGTCATTGACAGCAAGAACCAGTGGAACAACAGTTTCAAATACAATGTCAGATAATGTATATCATATAGTTGATCAGGCTTCTTAATCTTACACAATCGTCCCAGTGTAACAGTATTTCTTACTGAAATCACATACATGTCCTAATGCTAAAATAATTGCATTTATTGTCTTTTTAACATGTTTAGAGTTTTGTATGAAATAAAACAATGTACAATGTATCTGGCAAACCATTGGACATATCAAGTATAAAGTGCTTCCTCGGTCCGTAAATCCAAATGCGACCTGATATATGTCCTGTCCTGTGTTTCAGGCTGAAGAATTTCCCCAATGAGCAGCGTCTGTGGATAGAGGTGCACACAATCCTCGAAGCTCTACAAACGGAGTCCACCGATCAGAAGAGCAGTTTCCACACAGGTGCAGTGTTTGTGTTGGTGTCATCGCTACATCTCCCTTGGTCTGTGTCCCCGGCTGAGATATTTCTGGAATGTTGCAAAACTCACTCACTGGTTTTTCTTAGCTTGACTCAAGAAATACTGATTGAGCGAGTAGACTTTAGTTTTATGCCACTTTTAGCAATGTTCCAGCAATATCACGGGAGGGGACACCAGAAATGGGCTTCACACATTGTGCCCATGTGAGGAATCGAACCCTGGTCCTCGGCATGACACCTTAATCACTGGGCCAAGAAATATTGCCTTTTGGTGGCAGTAGTGTGCATTTTATTCAGACATTAATTTGTATCTTTACATGCAGGATGAAGTTATGTACAGCATAAGGACTTTTTGTGGTGTGTTACTTATCTGATGAAACAAGATACATAGAAAATGGGGAATAAAGAAATTATAGAAGTTTCTATTACAATGAAAATTCATTTCATCGGTGTACATGTGGCTTGCTGCTAAGCTAGCTCTATCGTACGGCTGAATTGTTTATAACCATATGTTGTTTAAAGATGATACTGATTTCCAGGGTCCATAATGCCCGACCTTTTCTTGTAAACACTCACTGCTGTTGTATGGCACACAACAGAATACCTGATACCTATCTACCATGTCTGTTTGAGGCTACTAATGTACCAGTGTTGGATCCGTGATGAAGCTTAAAACAAGCTAGGCAGCTAAAAATTGAGGTTAAAAAACCCCACACACTTAAAAACAGTTAAAAAGGAAGGAGCTTGGGCATATTCCTTACCAATATGGTGGAGGATATCTTGTCCTCTGTTTAGCCTAGTATATATGCTTGGTCATTGAATGTCTGTACAGAGATATTTGCTGCGTTCCCAACCCACATCCAGTGTCAGATGCTGCTGAATGTTGCCGAGAAAATCTCAAATGTCTTGGAGCGATGTCGCCTGCTACTGCTGGCCATGAGGAAATTCCCCAATCTGGTGGTGGAGCATGGGGTATGTACCTGTAGATATCTACCATGTCTACAGTAAACCTGATGGTGGAGATCTGGTATATGCCTGTAGTTATCTACCATGAACCTGATGGTAGAACTTTTGGTATATACTAGTAGATATCTACCATGAACCTGATGGTAGAGCTTTTGGTATATACCAGTAGTTATCTACCATGAACCTGATGGTAGAGCTTTTGGTATATACCAGTAAATATCTACCATGAACCTGATGGTAGAGCTTTTGGTATATACCAGTAGATATCTACCATGAACCTGATGGTAGAGCTTTTGGTATATACCAGTAGATATCTACCATGAACCTGATGGTAGAACTTTTGGTAAATACCTATGGATATCTACCATGAACCTGATGGTAGAACTTTTGGTATATACTAGTAGATATCTACCATGAACCTGATGGTAGAGCTTTTGGTATATACCTATGGATATCTACCATGAACCTGATGGTAGAACTTTTGGTAAATACCTATGATATCTACCATGAACCTAGTACTTATTTGGTATTATTAAACTTGCAGTCCTTGATGCTGATCACTGTTCCTTGACCTGACAACTAGTGACTGTTGAAACAAGAGTGGGTAATTTTATAAGAGCTGTGTTTCCTGGTTTGACTGCAGTTCTCAGTGTATGCATTGTGTGTTGCAGCTGAAGCTGGTGGAGTTGCTGATGTCGGAGGAGAGACAGAGTGGAGCAGTGTCCCCTGTCAACTGCTACAGAAAACTTTTAGGTGAGTTGACCTATTGAGCTGTGTTTCCTGTCAGGATGTCATGATGTTGATCCAAAGAAGCTGTGAACCCAGGTGAGGTGAGTCAGAGGTAGCTGTGTCCCATCAGCTGTTAGCTGACTCAGTTGTTTAGTTCTTGTGTGTCATATGATGTGTATTCATACGTTCTGGTACAGTGTGAGATAACTGATGTTGTTCCAGTGTGTGACACACTGCCCCTGGTTCTGACGAAGATCAGTCACCTGTCAATCTCGGACGTTGAGCTGTACACCTGGTTGCAGCGATCTGTGGAGTTCTACATCAGCTATACCACACAGCCAGTCACACAGGACGTGTCACAGTCTCCAGGTATGTCACAGCCAGCCATAAAGGATTTGTCACAGTCTTCACAGTTGGTTTTTACAGTCAGTGATGGTGTAACAAGAAAAGAAAATCAAAACAAAATTCATGTCAACTCACAGTCCAGGTTCTTAAATTCATTATTTTTCCTTATCCCGACTCATGATCTTTGCTTATCTCCCTTTCCCTTTCGAATGGTAGTGGAACACTTGAATCCCTTGAAGTTCCCAAAGCGGACGTACACTACTCACCCACGAGTAACCTCCCTTTGCCCTCTCCCGCGCAAACCAGTCATGTGACGCGCCTTACTTGTCACTCTCTCCCTTTTCGCCCACACGGATGGTTGGGCGAGCACTGAGTCCCGTATACGGCAATCTATTATTTATATTTAGGCCTATTCTTCTAAATTAAGCTGTGTATGGTTTTGGTTATAATTACGGTGTAATATTTGTACAAATTTGTTGGAATTTATTGACTCTGAGTCGTGTTTTCATCGTGTTGTAACGTTGTTTACAATTCATGAAATCTTGTGTGTGTAAACACAGGTTGTCGCTGGCTGATCCTCACCCCCCTCCATCTTCATCCACCTTGCGTTGTAGCTACTGTGTTGATTTAACTGAATTACAATTTAATCAATATCTGTCTTATGTTTATAGACGTGCCATGGATCGGGTGAAAAGGACATCTCTAGTCACATGTGATAAATCTGGAGATCAGGCCAAAAACTGTATGTTGCTTGCTGCTGATGTTCATAATAGTGATATGTTGCCTAGTACATTACAGAACCAGTCTGCGGCAAAGGGGGCTAAGAAAATGTCGTCATCCTCGCAACCTACGCCGTCCCAGTCTAAGAAGAAGCAACGTCCTCTTCTACTACGCAGAAAAGATCTGCGAGTACTAGACCTGAGGGCAAAACTACACATTCTACCGCTGCTACGCAGAAATCTTTCAACGATGAGATCGTACCGCCGCATGAGAAAGACGTGTTTGACGACCCCCCTATACTTCTACCTGAGGTATCGATGACATCTATGACGCAGTCGATGTCAACTACTACTAGATCATCACCTATGAATGTCACAGCAGGCCAGCTGTCCGACATAAGACCTCTTACTTGGAGGACAGAAGTTGAGGCAAGGGAAACAGCATCGCAGCCGACACAACAAATGCAGAACTTCGACCCGGGGGAGTTCATGACGCAGTTCACCAACAACATGATGGCTATGATGGAGCAGAGATTCCAGCAAGAATCAAGGAAGACACAGTCTGCCGACATCGTGCGCAAACCACTGGCCTGCGCAAATCTACACCCATCAGAGCTACAACTGTAGTTGACGTTGGCGCACACACTCCTCCGCGAAGGTCTCCACAATCGGACGACTCCATCATACTACAAGATGATACGCAGTCCACGTTCGCGAACCTCTAAGAAGCCTGCCTCTACGCCTAGCCGATCCAAGAGACGTTCGCGAAGGGAACGCTCCCACGACAGACGTTCGCACAGGGAGGAATCATCAGCTGCATGTTCGCGAACCCAGGATGAAGGCAGAGATGACCCTGCATGTCATGAGTTTGTCTGTTGCAATTGAGATGCATAATTTTGGAGTTTGTTACAGGGGCAGTCCGCTTTACGGGCGCTAAAAAGAAGACGACTTCCTCGCAGATGAAGGCAACTGCAGCTATGGGGAAGTCGGTGCGTCCTAAGAAGTCGTCCCAGCATAGATCTTTCAGCGAAGACATTCTACCCCTTGACGAGATAGACGTCTTCGATGATCCGCTGATACTTCTACCTGAAGTACCGATGAGGGTGACGATTTCTTCAACATCTATGACTAGATCTTCACCTGCAATGATCATAACTTGCCAGATATCTGATCTACCTCCAGCATCTCAACGCAGTGAACCAGGGGTACTCAAGACTTCAGTGTTTGCGAACGCTACGTCTTCTGACAACCTAGAACTTCGACCCTGACGCAGTTCACCAACCAGATGATGTCCATGATGAAGCGGAGGTTCGTGGAAGTAGCACATGCTCGGCGACGCCTCTTAGCTGCAGGAAGATACAGGCCTCAGTCAACCCTCTACGCAGACATCGGCAGTGAGAGATAACGTTCGCGAACGTACACCTCTGCGAACGTTCATTCAACAATCTACTTCTGCGAACCCGCAGTCATCTGCAGAGAGATCGGCAGACCCAGATGCAGCAGAGCAACGAGTTTAGACGTCATCATCTTCAAGTCTCTACCAGATCTAGATCTCGCAGACGTTCGCGAAGCTATTCACCACATCATAGAGGTTCGCGAAGCTCACACCAGAGAGCATCGCATGAGCATAGATCACCCTACAGTGGCAGCCTGCAGAGCAGACATTCGCGAAAGCACAGCTATCATTATTCAAAGTCACGAAGTAACGAATCGGCGGTAGAAGGTTCGCGAAGGCACAGCTCTCCTTACAAGGGTTCGCGAATGTACAGCTCTCATTACAAGGGTTCGCGAATGTACAGCTCTCATTACAAGGGTTCGCGAAGGTACAGCTCTCATTACAAGGGTTCGCGAAAGGATGATGAGTCATCTAGAGGTTCGCTAACTCATCTTTCCCAAGATAAAGGTTCGCAAAGAGGGGAATCATCTGAGAAGGGTTCGCGAAAGGACAGCACACGAGGGAATGCAGATTCACAGGCAGATGAACAGCGCAGTATCAGCTCTATTCAACAACCACTACAGGAACAACAAGAAGACCTTGTGTTTCCTGATCCAGAGATTACAGCTGGATAGCTAACGGCCTGAATCTGCAGTCACCATCTAAAGATACAGACGACATCCTCTCCTATCAGATGCATGATGACAAACTAACGCAGACAGTTATACAGGCAGATATCAGCAAGGAGATATCTACAAGGTTCGCGAACTCTCAGATCTACAAGACATCTACAGGGTTCGCGAATCCAAGGTTTAACAACCTTAGGTCAACAGGCAGAATATTTACGTCAACTCAACAAAAGATCTACAACATGTGCGATCTCTACAGTTTGCAGCCTGCTCAACTCTACAACCGGTATGAACCTTACACCTATATAGGTTCAGGTTTAAACGACAACCTACTTGATGAAAGAATCCCTTCATCTACATGGATGCGGAGATATATACCGGGTAGCAGATGGCCTGCGGAAATTGTCGTTCACTCACTCACTCAACCCATCTGAGACGTACTGCATATATGCTGATGACTGTGACTTCAAGATGATATCACCTATCAAGCTGATATATCAAGTTTTGCAGATATAAGTCTCGACAGCCTACTTCGTCATGCTGGCTTATATTATCTACAGTGGGAAGAGGTGATTTATATCACTGAACAAGAATTTACACCTGGATCAACCCTTATTCAAGAGGTTTATAGGAGCGGCGTAGAGGTACGCGCGCTTTTACTCAACCAAGACTGGTGATGTCATGCTCGGAGGCTGATTGGTCCACGTCAGACGACGCCTCCCACTGACAGAGCAAGCAGTAGGAAGTTTACTGACTTGTAAACAAAGACGCGGTATGGGGGGATTACTTCATCGACAGCCATGTAAACAGTATACAACTACGGCCTGTTATCATCTGGGGAATCTGATAGATGTCTACCCTGCACAGCAGCATGAACAAGATTTATTTTGGAAGTTGTTGCTGAGGAAAGTCGGCATGAGTGCCTGTCCCCGGCATGGCTACACTGCACCCAGCTGGGCTATAAATAGACAACGCTTCGAAGTATGCTGATCAGCACAGATCGCCTCTGTATAGAGGGGAAGAATGATGTATCATCACTGCAATCAGAGGTTAGCACTTCCGATGGAAGATCCTACGGTTTGGAATATTGGCGGCTTTATGATTATTATTCATACGAATAATCAAGACTATCGGCACCGATCAATAACATCGAGGTCTATGCAGTGTCGGGTATCCGGACGATGGCATGCAGTTTTCTTCAAAGTGCCGATCAACTTTAACAGCAGCTGAACCTCACAATTAAGTTGCTCACGCAACTAGGATGGCTAATTAACCTGATGAAGTTGCAGTTAGAATCAACAAGATCTTCTATTGCTGGGAATCATCACAACAGAGAACCGTATTGTCATCCCAGAAGACCGTTGGTTTAAGATACAAGCCATGATACCACAAGCAGTCATCTCTCCGTTCACACTACGATCATGGCAAGTTCTACTGGGTCTACTAACCTCAGCACAAGACTTAACCCGTACAGGAAGATTACAACTGAGGCCGTTGCATCGATTCCTGACAAAACATCTAGACAGCGTCGATCCCATCTCGCTACCAGACAACCTCAAGAGGTATCTACTCTTGTGGACTACCAGAGTGACCGAACCTCCTAGTACATCCGCACACCAAGCAAGCACATGGGAACCCAGCAGTGTTCCAGTTACACGTATGGACCGTATCAAAGCATGCTTGACGAAGAGAGGATACTCTGCCAGAGCAGCCAAGCAGTATCGCTTTGCACTTTCGCAGATCAACTTCGCGGTCTATCGACGACGACAAGTGGCTGAAGTTTGAACCTTATGCAAGGCGGAAGAACTTCACTGCGATAAAAGCGACTCATCCTCAAGTGGCGGAATACCTGTGTCATCTGAGACAGACGAGACACCTTAAAGGTTCGACAGTATCTACATACCTCGCTGCCATCAGTTCAGTGATCCCCATGATAACAGGCATCAAACTGACAAAAGTTCCAGAGCTACTAGAACCAGCAGAGGAAGTTTAGAGCTCCGGCCTGGGACCTGAACGTCACTCTACGTCATCTCACCAGTGATGCCTACGAACCTTTACATCAACACTGGACTGCAGCCGAACTAGATTCGACGCAGCGAAATGAGGCAGTACATCTAAGGCTTAGATGGGACTTCATCACCAGTGATGCCTACAAACTTTACATCAACAACCTTCGAGTTGCTGACACAAAAGACTGTTCCTGCTAGCGTTAGCCATAGCAGCAAGAATATCAGAGATACATGCGCTGGACTTCAGCCGAACTAGATTCGATGCAGGGCGAAATGAGGCAGTATATCTTTGGGCCTCTCGTTGCAGCACAGCTACTAATGGTTCCTCAAAGGCGCTGAGTTGAAATCTCACCCTTTATCACGTTGACTTAAAGATGACTTTTACTAGGAAGTATTAGTTTGAAAGTCCATGTGCACAGTCTAGGACAGACTAGCATGAGTGATTAAGATCCTGTGCGGGTAAGGACCTTACCTGCACATAAAGGGATCGCAACTCATTTATGATAAAGACCTTATCATAATCCATGGGTTGTTATAAGATATCTAGTACAGAAGAACTAGTTTATCTATAACCACACGAATCAACATGATTCATCCTGTCTGAGATTGAAGTAAGACAAGGAGTGGTCCCCCCGAGTTACTACACAAGTTGGAAGAATAGGACCACGGAAATGCCATTTGCAGTTCCCATGGTGGGGATACAGGACGTATCTAAGGACAGCTGTTGAATCCAGCGGCTTGACCCACCACCAATTCTGACGGATTCTATAAGCAAAGATCATGAGTCAGGATAAGGAAAAATATGTAATTTTTTAAGTAAAATTGATATTTTATACTTATCCTGACTCATGACGAACAAGCCCTCCCAGCCTCTCCGTTGAAGACACTTGAGATTTCACAGCAGATCCAAGTACATGGGCAGAAAATCAGGAGAGAGTGACAAGTAAGGCGCCTCACATGACTGGTTTGCGCGGGAGAGGGCAAAGGGAGGTAACTCGTGGGTGAGTATTGTACGTCCGCTTCGGGAACTTCAAGGGATTCAAGTGTTCCACTACCATTCGAAAGGGAAAGGGAGATAAGCAAAGATCATGAGTCAGGATAAGTATAAAATATCAATTTTACTTAAAAAATTACATATATTGTATTTCAGATTTATTGTCCCCGACAAAGACTTCAGCGAAGAAGTTCCCAATGATCCCCGGGCTACTGGACAGAGAGAGTCAGGTGACTGACCCCTGGGGCAGCCTCTTCAAGCTGCTGCAGTTGTTTGGTGGCCACCTTGGATGGGAGATGGAGGCAGACATTTTCAATAAATCCAGGTATGTCAGCCTCAGCGGTCTTCTTATCTCAAGAGCAGGAGGTTGGTGGTTCATACCAAGAGATGTCTCATACCAAGAGACGTGTAATGATGGTACTTTCGGTTGCTCTGTGTTGTTCAGAATTATGGAAATACAAAGAAGACTTGTCAGCTCGGACTCGATGCACCTTAGGAGATAAACATCATGTGTTGGCCAATTTCCGGGTGTTATTGGGTATTTGAAGCATGGTCATTCATTCGGAACCAACAGCGTTAGCCGGAGGTTTCAAATGAAGTATTCCTGTGCTTCAAATACTCAGTAACACCTGGAAATTGGCCAACACGTGATGTTTATCGACATTGTAAACACAAAAGTAAACCAAAAGGCCCATATGGGTTTTACTGTCTGCACTCATTGACATCGAGTACGGGTACAGCAGTGAAGTGTCATCAGCTGGCTGTTTGAGCTGGTTCCCATGGTAGCATCTGGAACTGCTCCTTTGTGACGTGATTCCGACTTTACGTCACAATATGATTTGAATGACGTCACCACTGCTGATGACGCAACAATACCCTTGTCTGCGATATTTGTACGTGTCAATACGCAGTGAATAGTCTTGCAATTTCCCAGAATCGAATACAATTTGATCATGTTTTTTCAACCAATCAGATTAAAGAACACGGTGACTTTTGGTTTACAATGTGTCATAGTGAAAACACTGCATGATATATCAGTAGTCTAGAAGTATAAGTCTAGTGTTATTGTGTACAAGTACACCCAGCCGTGCACACATGTGCATACATTCTGCTGTGTAAGTGGAATATTCCTTACACATTAAACCCCATGTTACCTCTAACCAGCTGACATCGCTTTGAGCTCTGCTGATCAGGTACTTTCCGGTTTCAGAGACTACCAGTGGCAGTACTTGTTAGGTGTCTACAACAGCATTAAACAGAACCCCTCTGAGCGTGGACAGAAACACATCCTGTATGTTGCAACGGTGCTGTTTCTGCAGTGTCTCTATATGTACGTCAGTCACGTGGATACAGAAAACCTCTCAGGTAAGTAACCATAGTAACATATCACACCAGGGAGGGCGGTGGGTAGCCTAGTGGTTAAGACGTTCACTCATCACGCCGAAGACCTGGGTTCGATTCCCCACATGGGTACAATATGTGAAGCCCATTTCTGGTGTCCCCTGGCGTGATATTGCTGGAATATTGCTGAAAGCTGCATAAAACTAAACTCACTCATCTAACCATGGGGCTTATTATAACAACCTGTGGTTTGTGTAGCCTGATTTTTATACAGGCTGGTGTGATAGAGATGAATGGTGCTGATGGCAGAATTAAACAAACAGCACTCTCTGTTCTGATGTTGCAGGTTCAAGTTTGTCCTCCCCACATGTTCCAGTTGTAATCCTGGAGAAGTTCCGCTCCGAGAACGGCGAGACACAGATTCAGTAAGTACACACAACGTTCTCTCAAGTCTTCTTGTTCTCAGTCATCAGAGCTTGCACAGATGAGCTTAGTGTGTTGTGGATGGACATGTTGTCATGTCAGCTCCTTGTTGAACGGAGATGGGTTTCCAGGGAATTATTAGACCCGTGAAGATCCGGGGTAGAATAGGTCTTCAGCAACCCATGTGCTTGCCATAAACGGCGACTATGCTTGTCATAAGAGGCAACTAACGGGATCGGGTGGTCAGTTTCGCTGACTTGGTTGACACATGTCATCGGTTCCCAATTGCGCAGATCGATGCTCATGCTGTTGATCACTGGATTGTCTGGTCCAGACTCGATTATTTACACACCGCCGCCATATAGCTGGGATATTGCTGAGTGCGGCGTAAAACTAAACTCACTCACTCACTCCAGGGAATTATTAAGACCTTGATCAATGAATGTCCAAGCTTGGCAACTGTCTTGTGTATTGATTGCCATTGTGAGAAGACTGTATGATGCCATGTCACATGGTTAGAAATGCTATTGCACATCCATGCGGTTTCAGGGTTAGAATAAGTCCACATTAACATGGGCCGGATGTAATGGTTCGGGTTGTCAGGGTTGATGACTGTTAGGAAAAGTCTTTGATTGCAAAGGCCTTAAAATGGCCTGTTTTGCTCGTTAAAATTATGTAATTGTATGATCTATTCTGAATTTGAAACCAACAGTATGAACAAAACTATTTGTATCAATCTTTAATGATAAGTGACCGAAGAACCCAATCATGCACATACTACGTCATCTGTGACACAGTATCAGCCAAATGGTAGTCACAACAAAATTAGTCTGAATTGTTTTGGATGAATCTGTAAAAAGACATTGAAAAGGGTTTAAATTTTGTTGCAAAATCTCTATACGAACCCTGAATTTTGACCTTCAGACCAAAGATAAAACGTCTCCGTCAAGACAACCCACATCTCCCACAGATCATGTCGTCCACCAACATCTCCAGCTCCCAGTTCATCATCCAAAACTTCATCACAGCCATGAAATGTTTTGAGCTCCTGCACTCCTCTGAAGATCTGCGCCGAGGTTGGTAGCTCCATCACAGGTGTTTCTGGGTTAGAATTGTTCCATGGCAACCCAACCTTATGCTGGTCTTTAGAATGGCGATAAGAGGTTTCTGGGAATGGATATACTTGAGACCCGTGAAAATCCAGATTAGAATTGATCTTCAGTAACCCATGCTTGTTGTAAGAGGGGACTAACGGGATCGGGTGGTCAGGCTTGCTGACTTGGTTGATACATGTCTCAATTGCGTAGATCGATGCTCATGATGTTTATCACTGAATTTGCTGTCTGTTGTCTGTCTTTGCTCAGGGCTACAGATAAGGGGCGTACATGCGTAATGTACGCCACAAAATCAATTAAGTACGACATAATATAAGATTTCAAGCGTATCGTGTACGCACATAAATACCTTCTTACATCTAACATTTAATTTCCGTGTGTATCGTGCAATGGAAATCTATTTCGGATAAATACTTGTTCAGTTTCTTTTGCGAAACACGATTTGACACATAAGGAAACCCCGACTGTAGGAATCCCTTGCGTTGCCATGCAACGATATGCGTCACTATTTTTCTATTGGCTAAAAACTACACTGTTCCTATTTATATCCAGTCGGACCTGACATTTCGCGCATCACACGGTCGCTCAGTTATTTCTCACGCGTCTTCAAATACAAGTACATGGTTGGAAATAGTGATCGATGAATCGTCCAGACAAACCACTTCACCAACTCGCTCACACAAAAACATGTCGGTACTCCTTCAAAATTCTCTGTACACCTTCACTTGCAATATGATGTGTAAGTACACTCACATCCCCAAAAGTTATCTGGAGCCCTGTTTGCTCATCCTCAGGTCCAGATCAGTACAGGCAGCCACACACTCACACATTCATACCTGCATGCACGTCACTGTGTAAAAGCAGTAATATTTGTCAGCTGTGTTAGGGAACCTCGCAACTTAGACTTTCACTTTATATAGCAATTAATCATGAAAACCCCTTCAGTGTTCTCTCTTGAATTGTTTTTTATCCTCCAACAGTTTTGTAGGTTTGCTGTTGTTTGTTTTACTTAAAAGATTGCTTCATGCTGTTGGGACAGTAAATTCTGTATTCTGGTCATTGCAGAGTTCATGGAGGATGGAACTCTGGTCATGGAGGATGGAACTCTGTGTCCTACCAGGTGTTGGTTTGTTTAAAGCTGTTCCAGAACTGACATGTTGTAAGTAATATCTGGACCAGGTTTGTTGGTTTGTTTAAATCTGCATTCAGCAATAGTCCCGCTATAGGCTGACAGGTTGTAAGTAATATCTGGACCAGGCCGACCAGATCATAGGCAGTCACCTGTGCATGCTACATCTGCGACCTTTGATGAGTGTCATCATAAGTTATGTCCTTTTACTGTCATCTACAGTTAAACATAGTTGTGATGAAGATGAAGGGACGTACATAAGTTCTTCAAATTACCCAGGATTCCACACAACCAAAAAATAATGACTAAATAATGAAAACGCAGGCACCAAGCTTTGACACATCTGTAAGCTGGACTCATCGAAACTCGACACAAAAGTGTTTTTAGCTTGAACAAATGAATGAGAGAAGTATAGCTACTCCCACAAGGATGCTATGATTGGTTGGTTGGTGTTTGCAGGGAGCCTTCCAGGAAGCTGTTGCCCAGCTACAGAGCTACTACATGGGAGCCAAGGGCAAGATGAAGGTAGGGATCACCTCACTCCATTACTCCATGTCTTCAGAACTTCATAAGACCGCCTCCGTGGTGTAGTGGTTAGAGCGTCTGCTCGGAGAGCGGAAGGTCGCGGGTTTGATCCCCGACTGCGTCATACCAAAAGACGTTAAAATATGGTACTTGTTGGTCCCTGCCTGGCGCTCGGCATTAATGGGTACAAGGACTGGTTGGCTCGGAGTCAGTATAATGTGTCTGAGTGGGGTATTCATGCTTCACTGCGGCATGGTATCTCAGTGGGCTAGCACTATAAAACCAGCTTCAGTCTGGGCTAGTACAAGCAGCCGCACATACACATACACACGCATGCACATTGTCATATGAGCGAAATATTCTCAAGCACGACGTTAAACCCAATTTCACCTGAACTCACCTTCAGAACTGCAGGGGATCCTGGGCTGCAATGGCTGCTTTGTATGGATTATTGAACAGCGATTTTACTAGTGTTTCAAACCATCTGCCACTGAGGGCAAATTAGGAAATATTTTGTCGTCAAATTTGTAAATATTAGGACAAAGATTTATAGTAACATTATAAGAATGTGAGTGATGTAAAACATGAAATGTAGATGCGGAAGATATGGTATACCAGTACCCGAGAAATGTTTCCCTTCAAGTGTCAAGATGGTATACCAGTACCCGAGAAATGTTTCCCTTCAAGTGTCAAGATGGTATACCAGTACCCGAGAAATGTTTCCCTTCAAGTGTCAAGATGGTATACCAGTACCCGAGAAATGTTTCCCTTCAAGTGTCAAGATGGTATACCAGTACCCGAGAAATGTTTCCCTTCAAGTGTCAAGATGGTATATACCAGTACCCAATGTTTCCCTTCAAGTGTCAAGATGGTATACCAGTACCCGAGAAATGTTTCCCTTCAAGTGTCAAGCTGGTATACCAGTACCCGAGAAATGTTTCCCTTCAAGTGTCAAGATGGTATACCAGTACCCGAGAAATGTTTCCCTTCAAGTGTCAAGATGGTATACCAGTACCTGAGAAATGTTTCCCTTCAAGTGTCAAGCTGGTATACCAGTACCCGAGAAATGTTTCCCTTCAAGTGTCAAGATGGTATACCAGTACCCGAGAAATGTTTCCCATCAAGTGGCAAGCTGGTATACCAGTACCCGAAATGTTTCCTTCAAGTGGCAAGCTGGTATACCAGTACCGAAAATGTTTCCTTCAAAGTGGCAAGCTGGTATACCAGTACCCGAGAAATGTTTCCCTTCAAGTGGCAAGCTGGTATACCAGTACCCGAGAAATGTTTCCCTTCAAGTGGCAAGCTGGTATACCAGTACCCGAGAAATGTTTCCCTTCAAGTGTCAAGATGGTATACCAGTACCCGAGAAATGTTTCCCTTCAAGTGTCAAGATGGTATACCAGTACCCGAAATGTTTCCTTCAAGTGGCGAGCTGGTATACCAGTACCGAAAATGTTTCCTTCAAGTGTCAAGATGGTATACCAGTACCGAGAAATGTTTCCCTTCAAGTGTCAAGATGGTATACCAGTGCCGAAAATGTTTCCTTCAAGTGTCAAGATGGTATACCAGTACCGAAAATGTTTCCCTTCAAGTGTCAAGATGGTATACCAGTGCCGAGAAATGTTTCCTTCAAGTGTCAAGATGGTATACCAGTACCCGAGAAATGTTTCCCTTCAAGTGTCAAGATGGTATACCAGTACCCGAGAAATGTTTCCCTTCAAGTGTCAAGATGGTATACCAGTACCCGAGAAATGTTTCCCTTCAAGTGTCAAGATGGTATACCAGTACCCGAGAAATGTTTCCCTTCAAGTGTCAAGATGGTATACCAGTACCCGAGAAATGTTTCCCTTCAAGTGTCAAGATGGTATACCAGTACCCGAGAAATGTTTCCCTTCAAGTGTCAAGATGGTATACCAGTACCCGAGAAATGTTTCCCTTCAAGTGTCAAGCTGGTATACCAGTACCCGAGAAATGTTTCCCTTGAAGTGTCAAGATGGTATACCAGTACCCGAGAAATGTTTCCCTTGAAGTGTCAAGATGGTATACCAGTACCTGAGAAATGTTTCCCTTGAAGTGTCAAGCTGGTATACCAGTACCCGAGAAATGTTTCCCTTCAAGTGTCCAGCTTGTATGTTTCAGACCAGACTCTCGCTGCAGCTAGCCTCCAGTTTCTACTGCCTGAGAAACTTATCTGTAAGTATCCAAAGCTGGTAACAGATTGAGAACAATTTGGTGAAATGAAATTGAGTAAAACTCTATTGAAGCATCTCTGTACATTACTGGTTTTTAGCAATTCATGGAGATGTGGTGTGTCTTAACCTCGATTGATTCCTGGCCTGTGCTTCAAGTGTAAATAGTACAGTTAACCACTTGTAGTGGCTGACAGAGTAGTGATGTCATTCGATTATGATGTCATCGTAGCCAGTGATGTCACAATGGTCACAAAGGCATTGTGATGCAATTTCTTTACAATATTTCTAACTGACCTAATCGTACTCATATCTCGTTTGGAAGCCAGATGCTTTCTGTGGTCTACATTAGGTTATTGTAGACATTGTACAAGTTGTATAAAGCTACCTTGACTTTACAGAAAGCGTGTGAGCTTGTCCTTGATGTTGTCGCCTCATTGCCCGAACATTCCCCGACGTCAGTTTCCACCGAGGAGAGTCAGCCTGGGTTCAAGTCACTGACAACATCAGGACCAGTCCGACATTTGATACTCATGCAGTGTTCCGAGTGTGAGATTGTTCCCTTCTGTATACAGCTGCTCATCACTTGCTTGAAGGTGAGTGTCACAGGGGAGGCAACTCTTAACAGACAAACTTTGTCAGTATGTGAATTGATTTGCAGCCATGACCCTCATCCCGCCTCAAAGTCCTTTCCCTTGCTCCCCTGTAACCTCCTGCTCCTTCCTAGCACAGTTATCTCCCTTCTTTAATCCACCTGAAGCTCCTCATCTCCCTCGTTCCACCCTCCTCTGACTCCTCATCATGTGACCCTCAGTGCCATGAGTGTGGAAGTGGCTGTTACAAATACCTCCCACAAACCCCAAATGTAGTGATGTGTATGTTTTTGTGTATGTGTTTTGGAATACCATGTTAGTGAATCATTTTGCAGACTTTATGGTAAACCTCAATCAGAAGGTATCAAATAGTAGAAATAAAAAACTAGACATGGAAAGTCATGCATGATTTTGCCAATAAAATGATGCCACAATCCACTGTTGTCATCTGTATTGTTATGTGGATGATAGCAGTATGATACACATCTATTTAGATTTTAATGTATTTTAATCCATGGATGGATTCATTTTAACCAGTCAAGTTTTGGATTTTACAGACTTTCTACAGCAGCATCCATGGGGTAAATAAATACCCAGGAACTGGGTTTAATATTAACTTAATTTCATTATAATTTCCAGGAGCGGATATCCAACCACAACAATGACCTTAACCTTGGTCACCTGATCGTGTTGCTACAATACGATTGGCCAAAATATGAGAGTATATTCCTGGAGGTGATTCAGAAGATCCAGAAACAGGGCAGCTTCACCTACAACCTCTTCTTCTCCTACGTCTTCAGTATCCTCCTCCCATGCTGCTTGTGACCATCACATTGGTGTAGAAAGTGGAACATCAGAGACGCGGTGATTCCTTGTCATGTCATGCCAATAGACATGTTAAACATGGTACATGTTGTTGCCCTTCCTATCACTAGGTATTAGGCGGCTTCTAGTCAGTGTTCTAGTTGGGTATCCATGGTAAAATGCATATGGGATCTCAGCATACTTGTCTGAGTCAGGTATTTATGTTAAACTGCATATGAGATTTCAGTGTACCTGCTGTCTATAAAAACAGCATCATTCAGAAATAGGAAAGCAGCTACACAAACATGTGCATGCAAGTCGCAATATACGTGCTATAATCTTCAACTTGACATTAAACCACATTTCATCTCACCCATGTAGCTCCTGGAGGAATAAGATATTGAAAGATAAATTGGCCTAGTGGTCTGTAGCTGCAGGTATCTGTACACATTGCCTCCCAAAGCTGTGCAAGTATTTGCTTATCGTACAAGAAATGTTTGCTTGTTACCACTACACCCATACTTCACAAAGTGGTTAATGTTTCTTAGTTGAATTTCAAGAGTGGGGATTGAATTTTAACTTTCTTGTTTGAAATTTGTCAGGAAATTGAATGCAAAGCCAGCAGTAACGTTTTTATCCATGATGCCATGCCATGAAATCCTTAACCAGCCCCAGACATGGATATGCTTGAGGAATTAGCTTTCTTGGACACGCAGGAGGGAGGGCGAGTCAGCCTAGACATCATGCCCACAAGTACACGTGCACTTGCTCAGTGAGTACATACACATTTCACACATTGTCTCAGACCGTGTCATGTTGATATCAACAATAATGTCTCAAGTATAAAAAAGTGATTTCAGGACTCAAAAGAGGATGTTACAATATGACTGACTGACTGACATAGTTTGGTTTTACGCCGCTTTTAGCAATATTCCAGCAACATCAGGGCGGGGGACACCCGAAATTGGCTTCACACAATGTACCCATGTGGGGATTCGAACCCGGGTCTTCGGCGGGACGAGCCAACACTTTAATCACTAGGCTATCCCACCGCCCCGTTACAATATGAGGGCGGTGGGGTAGCCTAGTGGTTAAAGCGTTGGCTCGTCACCCCGAAGACCCGGGTTCAATTCCCCACATGGGCACAATGTTTCAAGCCTATTTCTGGTGTCCCCCGCCGTGTTATTGCTGGAATATTGCTAAAAGCGGCGTAAAACTAAACTCAGTCAGTCAGTTGTTACAATATGACCTACAAAGACATGCCAAGTCCGACCTCCATTATATGACATACAAGAGATTGCTAGGGCTGACCTCTACTATATGATCTACAAAACCATACCAGGTCCCATCTCCACTATATGACCTACAAAACCATAGCAGGTCCCATCTCCACTATATGACCTAGAAAGGCCTGCTGTGTCCGGCCTCTGCTGAATCAAATATAAGCATCTTGTATTGCAGGCAGCGGACAGTCACCCGGGGGGTCAACAAGGGTGTGAAGGAGGACTTCCGGGCCAGTCTAGAGAAGCAGGTGAAGACTGTCAGTGACCACATCAACAAAGTCCTGCTGTGCTTCATGACAGAGGAGAGAGAGTTGCTGCTCCAGAACATTTAGCATCAGAGTTGTACAATTGTAAATAAATGTACAGAAACCTTCTGGGCTGTGTTTGTCTGTCTGCTGTGTTAATGTCAGGGAATATCCTAGATGCTGATATAACTATGTCGTCCCTCATGTGGAAAGCCACACACATAGCTATAGGCAGTGTTCTCAGCTCTGGCTGCTGCTGCTACTGCTGCGACTACTATTGCTACTTGTTCTTCCACTACTACTACTAGTACTACTGAGGCAGTGGCATAGTCTGGTGGTAAAGCGTTCACTCTTCATGCTGAAGGCCTGGATTCGATTCGGAATATTACGCCATATTGTTATATTGACCGGTTAATCAATACACCTGTTATCACCCATTGTCAACTGAAGGAAGAAAGTGAAATCAGCATAACGACGTGATTTCATTATACATAAAACATTAGAAGCGGACACGATCACATTCAAACAAAAGGCAATATGTATGTTGAACTCTACTGGTCGCCAAATGTTCATCAAATGTTTTTACAGTCTTCCCTGTCGGAAAATCCACACCTCAAAACAATAGCACCTACATTTATTACTAAAAGATGAAACTCCAGGAAGCATCTCTATCCAAAGAAAGAAGTCATCTTTTAACAGAGACCATGACATTTTCCTTTCAGTGTGTACGCCTCTGTGCTGTCATCAGATCTTCAACCACTATCATGGCTGAAATATTGCCGAGGTGACGTTAAATTCTAACTCACTCACTCACTCAACCATATCAAGGGCCTTGTTCCCAAAGAAGAGGGCTTAGTTGTAAGGGTTCATTAACCACGGATGTTCATTAACAGAGCACAGTAGTGATGATGTCAATGTTCTGATGGGTCATGCTGCAAATATGTAAACCGTCCCAGATTGTGAACCAGAGCTGCACAGTAGTGATGAAAAGACAAGAAGGGCACTTTCTAAGGATTCATTATCCCTACATGAACTTGAGCTTGATGAAAAGAGGACCTTTTTTGCGGGGAAATAATTTTTGATGCACGACCGTGGACAAGAAGCACCTAACAGGATGAAGGTTTTGCTGCACCACATGGACTTCGTCACCTTGCCAGGAGCAGTCAGTACAGTCCGTTTCAGTCAGAAACGGACCGATGAATTGCAAATTTTATCATTGTACAAAATTGCCACATAAATATAAATAGTACACATGTTTATCATTTACTAATACCCAACAGCTTTCTGATATTTGAAAATTTTCCGGACTCGACCAAAAATGTTGTTAAAGAACTATCATCATTGAAAATGCAAAAGCTGTTATCTGTCGCGGCGGGGTGAGTATCCGTTTTCCCGTCATCAAGAAAACTGGCATACACCTCGATAACTCGGTAAAATCAATTGATTGATAAGCAAACATGGGGCTTCCTCAAGTGACAAGTGGTCAGAGATGGCAAGTCATTGGTATGCGGAATGCCGGCATGTCACAGAGGGCAAGGAACGGTGGTTGCCATCCATCGACTATCAGCCGACTGGCCAGAAAACATTAGCAAACCAATGACTTTAAGGACGATCAGCGTTCAGAATGACCACGAGTGACACCTCCTAGTGAGAATGCAGCCCCTCTCAGATCAAAGGAAACTTCATCCATTCATGTCAGGTGGTGTGTCTAAAACATCGTCATTTGTCCAACAGAATGGTAACCTATTAACGGTATATAGATCTGTATCGGAATGTCGCCATATAGATATTAAAGAAAATAATAAAGAAGTTGTAATCTATACAATTGCTACATTTATCATTATCAAACTTCTATAGATGTCAATCAAACAACTTATCGAAAGCTGATTACTTTTGGTGTTTTGTTTGTTTTGTTTGTTGTTTTACGCCACACTCAGCAATACTCCAGCTATCGGTATTGTCTGTAAATAATCGAGTCTGGATCTGACAATCCAGTGATCAACAGTATGAACATCGATCTACGCATTGGGATGCGATGACATGTGTCAACTAAGTCAGCGAACCTGACCACCCGATCCCGTTAGTCGCCTCTTACGACAAGCATGGGTTACTGATGATCAATTCTAACCCGAATCTTCTCGGTTATATTTCTTTTATTCATGACTGATAATCGTGCTTGTGTTTGGCGCCGCAGAAACTCTGCTTTAGTACAACGGAATATCTTAGAGCATGTACCTTTTGGCGGGGATTTGTTGATGACGTTTGGTTGCCTCTGGCATGGTGGTAAACTTGACTGTGTGATAATTAGACAAAATCTGAATGGACAACGGTATAACACTGACATCATAGACAGGGTTGTTGTACCACATTTTGATGACCATCCTCTGAACACAAGCCCAGTCGTCATGGACGAAAAATGCTGGGCAACATTGTGGACGTGCTGTTGGTGATTTCTTACGTCAAGAGGAGGTAGCAACTTGTGTTGGCCCTCCAGGAGTCCTGACTTCAATCCCCCAGATCGTGATGTATTGAAACACGCCCTCCGTCAAGAATCCTAAATACTAGTACCTGGTGGGTGAGGGATGTTGCTGCAGTCAGGAGGTTATTGATATTGTGCTCAGTCATTGATGCTTATGTGATTTCCGGAGGATTATACGCCTAAATCTTGAAAATAAAACCACTTGTTCACGTCACACGAACATAGTTATCAGCACTACAAAATGGGTCAATTGTCTTGCAATGTTTGCTTCTCTGCATAAACTACTTCTTTCTGCATTTCGATTTCCATTCTATTGTCCCTAGAGGGTCAGTCCATCAAGATAGAGTACGTTCATTTGAAGGTTGGATAAGTTTCTATGCTATGATTAATTGTAGCATATTGATACCATGTATGTACATAAAACGTGTATTTTCTTGACGACAAAGTTCTTTGAATAAAAATTGGCTCTAAAAAAAAAAGGTTCTCATGAATAGTAATATTTTGTATTAAGGCCATGTGGTCTGAAATAGAAAGTAAGAATTAAAATAACTATATATGTTGTCACCACTTTTTGCATATGCATATATGTGAATGTGACCTTGGAGATGTCTCCCGTTGAAAAGATAAATCCCCACGGGCATATTTGTGTGCACGTAAATACAGAACCACAGGCTCGGAAAACGAACGAAACAATAGAGTTGTGAGCAATAACTGCAGCCTGGGTCAGATTGTCGATGGCCCTACGATGCACAAACATAATTAAATCGAGCCTAAAAACCAGGGACACCTCTTGTGTTCAACTGAGCGTGACGAGTGAAACTTTTGACACCTCTTGTGTTCAACTGAGCGTGACGAGTGAAACTCTTGACACCTCTTGTGTTCAACTGAGCGTGACGAGTGAAACTTTTGACACCTACGGATCTTTCCCATCATTTTGCAAGTGCACACACACGAAGTCATACCCTACGTTCTCAATGTATGAATTAATAAAAAATACAGTTTCACGCCAGAGCTTGCGTGGTGAGACTATAATAGTGATAACCTATGCATATGAATGTTCCATATTCTACAAGACGGACAAAACAAGCACTTTACATGGGAGGCTGGTCACCCAACTTGACGACAAAAATCAGATCAACCAAACAGAATACTAAAGCGGCATGTATGGACACACATACAAACGTGTCAAAAACAACAAACTTGGAAATACATATTCCCGAAACTCATTTTATATATTCTTCTTTCATAATGGACATATTTAGAATGAAGCGACTTTGTTATATACAGATTTGTTACTTAGGGTAACATATTTTTGCATCGTGCTGTACCATGTTACATATGAAGGTAGTATTACCATTACAAAAGAACAAGGTCGTTTGTCATAGCCAGCTGCACATAGCACATTAAAATCATCAAAACCTGGACCACTGTCAGCTGGGGTGGACACTGTGGATGGCAAAACAAGACCAAGCACATAAAAACGTAAGTCGAGCGTACGTCAGTGCTCTATTCTAGTAAATATGAAAATATAATAATATGTTTTACTTATTTATAATTGTTGGATTAGGTGGATTTTGTGCCAGCATGAACAGACGTAAGGTACGTAAATATTCTTCTTTGTTCCTAATATCTAAAACCTGTTGGCATTGGCACAAATGAATATCAGTGAAACATGTTTTATAAGTTTGAAGTAGATGAACTCATAGGAAATTAATCATTATCTGTTTCATTGGAAGTGGCAATGGATCAGATTAACAACACTGTTCAAACTGATCCATAACTTGTGGATGTCATACTTTGTCTGTCGTACATCATCTACAATTATTTCCACAGGACATTTGTTAGCTCTTGGTGGTAATTCTTATTTAATTAAGCTAATATGATCCCCAACAATATTGATCCATGTCTTAGTGGTAATTCTTATTAATCAACCGGATATTGTACCCACTAACAGTGCTTTGTAATATATAATTGTAAGTGTGCATGTAATCAGTCTTATCTACTTTTCAATATCATCTTCGCTTGATGATCAACACGTATCACGACAACGACCTGTAAAGGTATGGGTAGTAAGCAGTGAGCTGATATCATCACAGATGCTGTTGTGTTAATGCGTCACCGTGATCACACGTACAGACAAAGTATATGTCGATTCGAGGCTAAAGCTAAAACGGAGTGATGTTGTCGAGGCAAAAGCTAAAACGGCGTGATTTTGTCGAGGCTAAAGCTAAAATGCTGTGATGTTTATGCTAAAGCTAAAACGGTGTGTTAGGGTTGTAGGAAACAGATTACTGTACTCGTTCCTAACAGACATCATTTAGTTTCAACGAGTTGTTTAAAAACCTATACAACAAAGAAAGCCAAATGTTATATGCCGGGTGATAATCGCGATGTAATATACGTTCATAAATTTCGGTATTATGGTGTACTGCAAGCTTATGGATTTCAAATTCTGGTATACTGTATTAGTGAGGTTTGTTGTAAATTCTGACACACTTGGTACGAATGATCAAGTCTCCAGGAGTTAGTTATGTTCATGATCTGTCATACTCATCTCACAGCAGGACTTAAAGCAGCGATGGTTGAGTGGGTTAGATGGCTGACTTTGTGTGCTGGCGATGAGGTGCCTGACGCTGAGGGTGTGTGTTCGAATCCCGGATGCGACTCGAGCTATAATTGTTACTTTACTGAGAAGGTGTAATCCCAAATGTGTAACATGTGTTACAATTGTTTCTTGTTCAATGGTGGAATAATTTTTCTGGTGTCAAAATCAAATAGGATGACCACAGCCTGATGCACCCTCCTGTCACAGGACAGCTCAAGCACCAATGTCTCTAGCGTTTGTAGCCAATTGGACAGGTTTCTCAAAGCTCGGTACTTGGGGAGCAGGAAAAATGAAGTTTCTCAAAGGCAGCTTGACAATTGTCATCCCAAACAAATTTCAACCTTGTGCCAAGCAAATTTGTGAGAGGGTCTGTCACAAGTGGGAAATTTTGACAAAATGTATGGTTGTAACCAATCATAGTCAGACATCTCATAAGCTGCTTCTTGTTTTGGGAAACCGCGAATTGTGTTATAAACTAATGGCCAAACTAAACGATACCAAACATTTTCCAATATATATTTTTAATGAAATATTCCTTTTTGTATGAAAACATACTTGAGCGTTTCCCATGTTCCAAACCAAACGTATTCGATCGAAAAATCCATAAACATTTGATCAATTGAGAAAAAAAAAAACCATGCCAAAATTATGTTACTTTCCGTAGCACGGAATGCACGTGCAGTTCAACTGTATAAAACTGCTAGCAACGCACATACACGTGCCCAGAAGGTTCGGATGCACGCGAATAACTGTCACCAGGTTAACGCAGTGATTGCGTCAAACAGGTTGGGTATGAGACAGATTGGTCGAGAAGCACTAGACCACGGGTGACCACGGCTATTAAAGGCCGTCACATCCGGGTACTTCATGCAGGCACATGGTATCCGAGCACGTCGCCCCTATCATCTACCATCTCGATTGTTGACACACCATGGAGGGTGGGGAGCTGGAAGAGGCGTTGCCTATCAGGCATGACTAAAGCAGACATTGTTTCAGAGTTACACTCTCAAGGAGTCACTGCTGTGAAACGGTTGAAGTTTAAAAGAGAAAAGGAAAATATTAAAAAAAAACCTACTTATTTACGTTCACTCACTTTAAGCTGGTTGTTGTCACCTAAGGGTAGATGCCTACATTCCTAATCCCACAAGGTGTTACAATTGCTATATGTATCACCATGGCTCCAAATCATGCCGGGGCGGCGGGGTAGCCTAGTGGTTAAAGCGTTCGCTCGTCACGCTGAAGACCTGGGTTGGATTCCCCACATGGGTACAATGTGTAAAGACCATTTCTGGTGTCCCCCGTCGTGATATTGCTGGAATATTGCTTAAAGCGGCGTAAAACTAAATTCAGCCAGCCAGTCAGCCAAATCATGCCATAACCCAGGTACCTACCATCGATGCAAACGTGAAGACAGCAACCACTGCGATAAACCGTCTTCCTGTGTAAACTGGTCTGGAAATTATCCTTTATCTTCTAGAGAATGCCCTACATAGAAACTTCAGTCAAAAATGTCACGTGTCAAACATGACCGAAATTTCACCTTTTTAAATACAAAGAAGTAAGTCCTTGATCGGAAAACTCCTGGCCTGCCTTATGCCGCCTCAACCCCTATTCCGTGTAAATCGGTATCTTACCAGACCAAATACACTTGGGCAAAATCGTTTGCCCCTACCTTGATATATGCCGCAATCCAAGTGAAACCTACACGAGTGACATCCAGTTCACAAACAATCATTCAGTCTAAGACATCTTGCGATAAGGATTCAGACAAAACCATCAGCTCTAAAATCAAACGACATAAATATTAAACCAATTGACAAAAATCAGTTTCACATCCAGACCTGAAACTAATAATAAGAATCAAAGTGGAAGAATCCCTAAAGGAGCTAATAACCAGGTCCAACTTCTTCAACAAGTTTGGATCACTTGAGGACATGGATATGTCCGACTACAACCTTGGAAGGACACATAGCTTGTCACCCTCAAGGAAGGTGAAGGGTAGATTTCCCGGTTAATCCCTGTTAGTCTCTGCCACGCTCTTGGTCATTTTTTATCAATTTGATCAGTTATTTTTATATTTTATATTTGAAGAGTGTAGTTGATAGTTTCTACGTATACATCATAGACACATTGGCACAGAATACAGAAGACGAGTAGGTTGCTTCTCTGTACGCTATTAAACAAGATACAAAAAAGCAGCTGACGGTAGGGTGACGTGGTAGTCAAAGCAGTCACTGGTCACTTCGAAGGGCTGGGTTCGATTCCCAACACGGCTAAATGATGCTAAATGTCCTATTCGAAATATACTATACTATAATATGCGGAGCAAATATGTACGCAAAGCGGAGGTTTATATCTGTGTCACAGAGACACTCATGTGCGCAATAAGTTATGTAAAAATAATACGAATTCGTTTCTGCATATTTGAACAGCTGGTTACTCCAAGAGCTATTAGTGTATATTGGGGCAAAATATCCCCTTATATGCATAACATATTGTACAAGCACATAACTGGAATAGTGATTCATATGTGGCCAAAACGTATTATTGTAAATATGTACCCTTGTAGATACTGTAATATTTGCAAAACACATAATTAACTCATTAACAGTCAGAACAGTGAGTGCCCTTTTAGATGTGCATGCACTTGTTAACATGGTTATGTCAGCAAGTGTGAAGCGTTCACAAATGTATTATTTCATGAAAAAGTGGGATAGTTTCATTTATTTATTATTTCCTCATGGTAGTCTAAATGGTAATCTTTAGGCTTCAGTTTCATTCTGGTCAAAGGCAAACACTTCAAGAATCCTTATTCACTGCATTTATTTTTTGGTGATTCAATGGCATATTCATTTGCTAAAAAATATTGTCACCATCTTGTATGTTTTCTAACATGTTACTTTGCAAATATTACTGATGTTATTGGAACACCTTTATTGAAATAATGATTATTATGTTTCATGTATGATAATAATAAATAACTACTGTTCAAAAGAGGCTAATGACTCTTTCATAATAGGTAAAACATAATGGAAGATAGGTACATAGACATAATAGATGCCTGACATAATAGATGCATACATTCACATACCATAAGGAATTTTTTCAAAATATTTCATGTTATAAATCATATAATTGTTTTGTAATTATTTCTGTTAAGATTATTATGCAATATTCACTTAGAGCTATTGTGTGGAAACTTTAACACATACTAAATATGCAGTTTCATTACATGGTAATCATAATTTGGTCTTTTCGTCATATTTTCTTTTGGTCCTATAATTAGGAGATAAGCATACTGTGTTGGAAAAACAGAGGCATATAACGAAATTATGTAATCTTGGTAATAGCTTCAATTTTTATATTTAAAACCTTATGCTACACAGTAGGTTTATCTCCATTCTTCCATAACCATGTTTTCAAAGAAAATACATACTGTATGATTACATACCTCTGAATGACTTTACTTAACCAAAACAATCCATTCTACCATGGCTACGTGAAATGCTCGAATTTGATTGGTCAATCCATAAAATCAGACGGTATCAATTTGGAATGAAAATGCGTCTGATTTCACTGCGCACGTATACAACACTGCCGCACTACTTCAGCTTGGCCACCAACATGACTAATATCAACACAACAGACGTGAAGGAAATGCTGAAGAAACATTTATTAAAACTCGAAAAATACAATTATACGATGTCTCCTCCACAACTATTAGGGAACCTCACTATCAGAATATTACCGTCTATTATAAAAATATTCAAACTCAATTACAATACACAGCCCTAAACATAAACAAACAATATCTAACATATAAATAAGAAAATCCTGTGGAAATACATCCCTATCTATGCCTATTTGTGCGGCAAAA